AAACGTAGTGAGGTAGTAAAGACAGAGAAGTAAGAAGTTTCCGAAGTTAAAATGTTGACACAGGTTAGGTCGGTTGTAAATCTAATGACTAAAGAAACGTCTTTTGTACACAAGGTTCAGGCTTTAAAGTATAGATCACCATGAATTCCCCAGTCTGAAAAAGTTTTATTCACACAGCCATCATGTGATTGTCGTGTACTTCGTAGACGATATTGAAATCAAACTTTACATGCACCTAGTGTCCAGAATCAATCAAATGCTCTAGAATTGAAATGTGAGAGAACTTTCCCCCTCCTTTGAAAGACCAAGATGGCATGTATATTTGTAAATTCCTAGTGAGGTAGAAAAATGAGTTTCTGACGTTTCGCGACTATGCAGAAATCGCTTCTTTAGAGAATAAAATCTGTACAAGTTATCAACTGTTTGAATAGTAAATGGTGACAAATCAGATCATACTGTTCATACACTATAATCATATGCGCAGAAATGTCTTTGTTACGTTCAAACTTGTCTTTGATAACCGTTATTAGTTTGAACTTCAGAATACCTCGTTGGGATTTTACCAGTATATTCCATTGGTAATCAGTTTACCCAGTGCTAAACTTATTCAACTCTATCAGGTCATATTTTAGTCCTGATGGTGTATATTCGACAATGCATTCAGAAAGCAGACGTTGAATACGGCCGCTATACCATACCAAATTTTATGATCGTTTCATTCATTTTTGTTATCTGCTTACGACCTTCTTACCACTTTTGACTACTTTCTTCTTTATGCTCTAGTCATCTATTTTCTTACCTCCCAGCTTGATGTGCTCATATGAAGTATGTCCATCTGAACTGTTAGGCACTAATCCCAGGTTTTGTTTTTACGCTGACTGATTAACTGTTTATGTAAGATGGTTACTTTATTAGTGATGGAGAATAGCTAGTAGCAAATCCAGGATACACCTTTCGTCCTGCTTGGGACTCATCGTCTAGATATGCCAGTCACCCAGCGAGTGATTTTGTCTCCATCGGGGCTCGAGCCCAGAACCGGCAGCCTCAAAAGCCAGGACAATACCACTGAGTCATGATTGGCACTTCCTGTGAGGCGAGTATAGAAAAGTTTTCACGTCATAGCTCATAACTTTCCGTCGTTGACTGGACCGAATTGATCGGCCACTACTGGTATATATACTGCTGTGCGGATGCCTTGATACTGTCGATATTTTCAGTTTTGATTGTAATGATGAATAATGGCTAGCAGTGGAATCTAGAACGCATGTTTCTTCTTGTTTGTCTGATCAGTGTACATGTTTTTTTAATAAAAATTAGGTCCAGCACAACTGGTTCACCGTTTACAGTGTAGTGAAAAAAAGATTAAGGTGATTGTTTAATACAAAAAAAATGATATCTTTTGATGTCAGTACGACGTCTTACCATGTAATTGGCTCAATGATACAGAAACCCAAGGGTATCACAGATTGCAGATGGTCCTTGTAGAAGATCAAAGGGGTTTGAGTAAACCTAGAAGGATTGGATTTATACAATGAAATGATATTATTCTATTTCAAATATGTTTATAAGGTACCTAGAATTACAAATTACAAATTACGAATGTACTGGTGAGTGAAGTGATTGAAAATGTCTGTCTACAAAATAATCTACTACCACCACTCAAAACTGGAATGGGATAACTTATATTGCTTTGCATAGATGATATCCATTTCCACATCAGTTACCTATTTTATTGACAGATGGGCGAAGTAGCTATGCAGTTCACCATCAGAATTCATGCAGGCAAGTATCCCCATCAGTTATCTGACTTGGAGTACGCAGACTGTTTCGTCCTGTTAGGTGAGTACGCTGATAAAGTGCAGGGTCTTCTGAACGCGGTGACCAGAAATCTGAGTACTTTATATACATATCGCACCTGTTTAATGTAAGATGATGCTTCAAACATGATCTGCAACTACTCCTAGTATAAGGATAGGGAGTGAAGTGGAATACGTCAACCACTTCACTTACTAAGGTAGTCACATCAGGTCAAACAGGCTGGTTGCTGAGGAAACCTCAGCTTGCATACAACATTCGGCAGCTAGCGTCATCTCTGATGATGGCTGGTAAAATACCCAGCTACGTATTAAAGGCCTAGTATACATCACTGCAGCTCATTCTGTCCTGTGAAAAGACTGTGAGACATAACCGTTAAAAGTAGAAGATGTAAAGCGATTACAGAGATTCGATCACATATGTTTTCGTAGTGTGTGTGAAATGTTGAGATCAGGCGAAAGGCACTAAGCAGGGAAAGCAATTCACTCGATGAGAATGTGAACCTTAAGTGACTGAGGTGGATTGTACATGTATTGCACATACCAGGGTATCGTCTATCTTGAAATATTATTGTAGGAGAAGTTGGATTAAGTTACCAGATAAGAAAGAAGCACCAGTCCATGAACCCCCCGACTGCTGATCTCAGTCACGTAGGGAGGTGTAAACTACTCACTCGGGGTTCATGAGTTGACACAAATCCATGGTAGAGAACTCGTGGTGAAATGTCTGAAAATCGACCACAATGGCGTAGATGTATCCATTCTTTGATGTCTTCTGAAGCTTGAGTGGTTTGACTATTCTTAATTTTTAAATTCACTCTTCCCATATACTTCTGTGCACCCTGATACCAGTCACTTCTATCCACTCGTTCTTTGTATGCTGTCGTTAAGTGTAGCAACTTGAACAGATGTATTTGTGTGCAAAGTTCTACTTTGATTTCGTCTGTCTGTCTGCCTATTTGAAAAAAACATGATTGATTTTAGTAGCTGAGACACAACTTATCATAAAACGTATATCAGTAACACACTAGTCGTTTGTAGTTGTTAGAAGGCTGAAATCCATCTTTCGTCCAACAGCTAAGTGATTTCCGAGAAGACAGATCTGAGGGTCACAGGCACGTTAAAATGTTTTCCTACAGCCAAACTTGTTTCACTTTATAACACATCCTCAGCAAAGCAGTCTAAATTGGACAAATATGCAAATTAGATCAAGTCCAAATGTGTTCACTGACTTTTATATACCTACTGTTCCAGAGATATTCAAAGGACCGAGACGATAGCTTCCTGCTAGTTTTCCGCGCATATCCCATGTCATCTATGCTCAAAAAGAATCAGGCAATTAGTAAAATTCTAGTAGATATGAGACACGGTGTTTCCAGTGCTTTGAAAATACCTAACGTTTGAAACATGTCTGAACAACTTCCCTTAGCAAAGATGGTTGCCACAAAGCCTTTTCAGTTGGACCTGAACATACAGGTCGAATGTGGGTTCAGTTTCTCTCCTATAATGAGGGTATTTTGGTCTCGTTTCACAAATCTTTCACGTTCTTATCGCTCTCAATTTCAGGTCAATGAGTTCATTTCAGCCTTACATATTGTAAATTTTTAAAATGTTACATAACCTGCCAGCTAATATCTTTTGTTCTCCCCTCTCTTTACATTTCTCGAACGTCCTGCAACTTATAATTTACGCCATCTCAATACTTTGGACTCTCTAATACATAGTAGCTTATGTGTTATCGTACAATCTTTTATTGTTAAAGTGTGTTGACACATTTTTCCGTCCTGACAAACAATGTTATTTCGGGGCGCGTGTGGCTGACGAGTGTCTGCGAAATGAAAGCATACCATTTTATTCGACACAACTGGTCATTTTGGCTTTCCTCAGATATAACGAGTTAATCAAGTGCATTAGAATTAAAAGGGTGTCTTGCATACAGTTTTGATGGTCACTACATTCACTTATCAGCCACCATTTCATCTTAAAAGGGTTTAGTGACTCTAAAGGATACCTTAGGAACGGAGCTTAGCATAGGAAATATGTAGTTTTTCATGTCCATATGACATGAAATGATACTTCACTTTGTTGGGAAAGCAAACGTTCAAATTATTTTCTATGTCGAGTAATTTTTTGACGAAAGTAGCTTCATCATGACTGACTGCGTAACAATTATTGTAAATCAGTTAGGCCGTATGCTGCAGATGCTTCTGTCAAGGCAATCGAAGGTAGGCTAATAATAAAAACAGTCACGAATAATGTATTATGTGTTCTCATTTGTGAGTAAGGCAAACGATCACAATGTTAGTAAAGAAAACGGATACTTTTACAAGACAAGAACCGTAAAAGGTGCGCAAATAACTGATTAGATTCCAATCGCGGTCTTGTTATGAATATCAGTTACAATTGTTACAATGAATCTGGTTATTTTACACTAGGATAAAAGTTGGAAGGAGGACTTTCGCAGGTCTTTCTCAGGTTCGCCTGAGCATAAAATTAAGTATGCATTACTCTACTAACAAATCCCTGATGTCAAAATCAAACAGCTGATCTTATTGAACAGCTCTAACCTTCCAAATGATATATTTTTTCACAAGTTAATGAACTGAGTTGGTCGGCGTTCCTGTGTGATCGCGTTATGCATTCACTACTGCTTTAGAACGGTCAAGAAATTTCAAATTTGTATGAGACAGCTGTTCAGTGCTCCACTGTTTTCAGTTGTTCCCCGCCTAATTCTAGAACAGCACTGATAAAATCTGTAGATGGCTTTCATAGTCATATATATGGTCTTATTAGGAACCAGGAAAATTTTCAAGTTAAAATTCAGCAGTCCTTTTTACTTTTAACCACCAACTTTTTCTCGGGATATACAAATCTTTGTAGTGAAGCAGTAAAGCAGAGACGTATCAAGCTCAAACAGAACCCGACTTCTAACCCTGGATTATTATTTCATAAACTCTTGTGTATGCGGTTGCTCAGATTCATTTACACCTCACCATTATCTTTTTTTGTTTCATCGCTTTTCGCAACTTTTCATCTCATTATTGCTATTTATATTCATCTTTCTGGCTTTTATCTTCACGTGAATAGTGGCATCTACGATCGTTACACAGTGATACCACGTTCCATATTATGAATGAATGGCTAATACCTTTTTTCATCACAAAACCTTTAATTTTATCATTTCAGGAACTTGGCAGTAATTGGGAGCGTTTCGAACAAAATAATCATGTTGTTATCCATTTACCATCTGCAAGTTATTCCGAAACAATTAGACAACAACTGGGAAATTTAGGAGAACTTGAATATATGGAAAGTCGTCAAATAGCAAGAATTTGTGAGGTTCGTGGTAAGTGTGCTAAAGTTTAAGTGAAATCACTGTCTTACTTTTTATCACAATAGCGTAAGGTTCAGGGCGTATGACCTTCGTCAGTAGTAGTCTGGACCAGTTGGTCAAATCTAGTCATAGCCAAAATAGATTGTAAAAGCATGTGATAAGTAAGACTAAGAGTTAGTGGTTCTGATAATTCAGAGTTAAATGGCCAATCAAAAGAGTAATAACATCAATCAGTCTCCTTAATCGAACATCAAGGAACATAACCACGTTTACCATAGTTTCACGCATCAAGTTTACTAAGGTCAGGTTAGCGTCACAACATTACCTAATATGTCTTAGATTGACGGATATGTTATTCACATCTAGCAACACTTAACTCTTCACACTAAAAGAAAGGCTTTCCAAAGTCATAGAGGACCCCACAAATTACCTGACCTGTATGAAATTGCTAACAATGACAGCAACCAACTGAGATGACCCATTCATGTTTAGAACAGTTGGAGATGTTATGTTAGCGCACAGCTGTGTGAAAGCAAGTGTTGTTTATCAACTCAGAGCCGTACAAAGAGACAAGAAGAAGTTTAAATGATGACAAAAACAAGGATAAAAGATAAAATGCAATATAGGCAAGTTGGGAAATGAAGCATACAATTCAACATAGAATCAAGATGTTCAAAGTTTCATTCCAGAGTATTATGCGATCCAGAAAATTCAGCTGTCTGAGCTTAGTCACTCTGGGTACAGTGGTGAGGCGGTTGTCTGCAAAACGACTGATATGGTCATATAGTGTTCAGATCATCTTGATACGGCTGGCGAGCGCTGCTGCTCAGTATGAATGGTTAGAAACTACTCATGTCAGTTATCAGTAGTAAATTTCCTACATGGTTGATGCTAGCTATTCATTACAACCTCTTTGAACTTGAATAAACCAAAAAATAGAGGATATTATTCATTTCCATATCAGAATGTATTCAGGATTTCTTTTTATCATAAAAAATGTATTTTTAATTATCTCTTGTTTGTAGATCCAAATACAGATGTTGTCATTGTAACACGTGCACCAATATCTGACGATCTCTTAGAGTACTATAGTAAACTGTTGGGTTTAAGCAAAGCTATTGAAACGGGTCAAGAGGAAAGTCAGTGTTCAATTAACTCACGGTATAGAATAATTGTACCGGAGGCAATTCAATATTTTCATGTAAGTTGTCACCGAAAGAGCTTAAAAACGATTGGACAAAAGTAACTGCTGAATAGTAATTAAACAGTATACTGTCTAGTCTTTGATGTTATAGCTTGAAAATCTTCGTCTTTGATTCAACCAAACTGACTGTCCACTTGGTGGGAATACTGCTAATCACTCCGATGCAGGTACGTCCAGCTGACGAAACGTGGCAATATCCATCATTAGTGTACTATCCAGTTTAGAGTATTAATGAAATTTTATGTGTTGAAGTGTATGACATAAAGCATTAGGAACAAGAATAACTCCAACGTATAATTGTTTTCAAGATGGTGTTAATCATAGACTGACATCAGATTGGGAACTATAGAAAAACTAGGGGAACTAGACAGCTATTTCGACTCAGTATGGGACTCCTCAACAGCTCACATCCATGACCCCAACCTTCAGGGACCGAAACCAGGACCGTAGATTTCGCGGCCAGCACATTACCACTTAGACACTAGATTCGGTGGTCCAAAGTTTACTATTTCTGTCATTTCATGATACAGAGCAACCTTCCTCCGACTGATTTCAGCTTATGATTATGAATACCATCTAGAGATCAATAAATCCTCACAAATCGTCAAACTGAATAACTGTTTTCAACAATTTCCTCTTCGAACTCTACACGGTATACCAATCCATGAGAATAGGTGAGACACAATAATCAATATGAGAAACATAGAGGAGAAATTATTTGAGTTTTGTTACGGGTAAATGAAGGTCAAATCAAATGCATGTAAATGTATTTTCAGATGGGGTAGCAGTCTGCTTAGTGTGTTGTGTAGTAAATGTTGTGTAATCAAAATGAGCAGAAAGTTACGTAACAAGGAAATAAAACTCAGAGATAATGGTTCCTTTACATATTTTATGCGCCTTAAATGAAATTAAGCTGAGTATTGTAGGTCAGCTGGTAGAACACCAACCATGTAAAGTGGAAGCCTGTCATTCGAATCCAACTAATGTATAAACGTGCGGCTGTCTGTTAACTAGGGATCAAACAATCATTATGTAGCAGCGAGTTATATTCATGTAAGTTCAAATTTCATATGAATACCATGACGAAATAACAAATGTGAAGTATTAAGTAAGAGCTGAGAATGACTACTGGTGAATCAACAAGGGCACGAAACTCATAACAGATAAAAATCAATGTTTGTTAAACGGAAGAGAAACAGCAGAGAATTGAGATGAAGCTAGGATGGAAGTGGTTTGACTAAAAAGCTGACGAAAATTTTCACTGTTGTGAACGCTCTCTCGACAGATCTGCTCAACCAGCGTGTTATGATATGAGAGACGATATCACCTTTAAAACTTAGTCCAAGATTTACAGTTTTCATACTAACGTTATCCTTCCTTATCATCTCTAGCTTTAAATTCAAATTTATTCATGAAGTTTACTGAATAACCACTTTGTTTAATATAATCTTTAGCTTATCCATCCCTTGTTCTACACAGTAATATATGATAATTATTTGTCCTTTGGGTTCCTAGTGGAAAATAAGGCTTCAGTAGCACGTCTACATTCCACTCTGTTCTCTACAATCTTTTGAACCTGGCTCGATCACTGCCCACAAGCTCTCATTTCTTCCTCACACACCATCTCCTCCATGTCACCCTCACCCTCACCTCGGACGCCCAACTCGTCGCTTCCCATCTGGGTTCCACTCGAGTGCCTGGCCTGGTGCGTGATGTCCCCAGTCGGCCTTCTCAGTGCATGCCCAATCCATCTCCACTTCCTTCCAGTGCATATTTGTTGAGTGATAGGTTCTTGCTTCGTTGGTTCGTTGCCAGCCAGCCGAAGTTCCTTGTTGCTTGTCCTTCTGGCCATCCATCTGATCTTCAGTAACGAGTGAGCGTAGGCAGTTGTTGATGAATGTCTATAGTTTCTTCGAAATGCTTTTCGTAACGCACCAAGTCTCTGAACCATATAGAAGCACTGACTTGACGTTGGTGTTGAAAATCCGGATGTTGTTCACGCTTTATGCTGAGTGCAGAAGATCTCCACACTGGTTTCAGGTTAATGAAACTGTACTGTTGACGCAGTTGCCAAATTACTTCTTGGTCAACGCTGTCAAAGGCCTTCTCAAAGTCAATGAAGTTGAAGTAGAGAGTTGAGCTGACTGCCATTCTATGCTCTGTTCATTGATGATAATGCGTAGTGTGGCGTTGGAATTTGGTCCGCACATTATTTGTACTTCCTGTTCCGGTTGTAGTTTTGAATCCAGCGCATCCTTTAGTCTCTCCAGGGTGATGCGGCTGAATATTTTGCTTGGGGTGGACAGGAGCGTGATTCCGTGCCAGTTCTTGCACAGACTTAGGTCGCCCTCCTTCGGCAGTTTGACAAGGTAGCCCTTCTTCCAATCAATTAGCTGGTACCTTTCCTTCCTTCCACACCTTCTGCAATAGTGGTGTGGTGTGAGCATGTCCACTCTTTTCTCTGCGTCCGCTCTGAGTGCTTCTGGCGGGATTCCATCTGGTCCTGCTGCCTTCCCGCACTTCAGTAGCCTTATGACGTTCAGGACTTCGACTTTCGTCAGAGGGTATGTGTTCACTTGTAGTTCTGTGGCTGGGCTGCAGGTGGTATTTCTGAACGAAGTGCAGGTGGTGGTCGATTCAAGAGCTTTCTGAAGTGGTCAGCCCACCGTTTACTTTGTTTCTCTTCTTTGCCAATTAAATTTCCCTCATCATCTTTTACTGGTTTCATCTGTGTTGATCTCTTCTCAGATAGTAGCCTGGTTATTTGATATAAAGTTCTCAGGTCTCTCCTACCAGCTGGCAGCCTGTTCTGCTTCACTTGCCAGTGTGTTGCAGAAGTATCTTTTGTCTTTGCGCTCACTCTTATTCACCTCTTTGTCGAGTGTTTTATACATTGTACTCAGTTCCTCTTCTCGTCGTTCATCCTTGCACTGGTTTATCTTCCACTCCACCATCTTTCTCTCCCTTCCTATCCCTCTCTTCTCTCCTCTTCTCCTCCCTTCTCTATCAGCTTCCATGTGTCCGTCGAGATCCATTTCATTCCTTGTCCCGCCTCTTCTTCTTCCTTCCTAACACGGTTGTGCAGGTTTCTTTCCATATCTCTTTCAAACAGTTCCAGTGTTCTTCCACGCCCGACCCTTCAGGGATGTTGCTCAATATCTCCCATTTTGTTCTGTTGGCTGACGTGAAGATGTCCTTTGTAGTTTCGTCCTTCAGTTTCTGTTCTCCGTGTTGAACTTCAACTGTGGTCGTCTATCACCAACTTCTGTGAAGGCTTCCAACTTGATTTTGAAGGTGGGTTGCTTGCACTAGATAGTGAGTGATGTGAACCTACATCTGCTCCCCATCTTGATCTGATCTTGTGTCCAGTAGTAGGCTGGCTGCGTCTCCACTTTCTTCACATTGAGATGAAGTCGATCTGGTTTTTAGTTTAGTTTAGTATCCATGTCACTCGCTTTGTGAATATCCTTGTGTTTGTACACACTGCCTCACCTCCAGTCACCAAATCGTTGAATGCATAGAATTCTGCAAACAGTTCTCCATTCTCGTTCATCATTTCGCCGAGTGCTTCTCGACCCATGGTTAGTTCTCTTCCTGTGTTGTCTGCTCCGAGTTTGGCATTCATGTCATCCCACCCATTAGAATTTTGATGTCGCCAACTGGAATGGTGTCTTGTTCAGTGCTGATTGCAGTTGTCTGTAGAATTCCTCCTCCTTCTTATCTTCATCTGCATTATTTGTAGGTGCGTAACATAGCATTGTACGATTGTGACCTTCCTTTCTTTTGAGTTGAATCTTGCTGTTATGATCCCGATCCTGCAGGAGGAGACTGGTTCCCACTGTATGAGAGCCTTCAATGCTGTCGGGGACATCATGATAGCCACTCCAAAATTTTGTGTGCTCGTGGTTATCATCTGGGTGACCATCCACACAGAGATAAGAATATGTATCCCATATTCCTTAACCACGAAATAGAATTAATTTTATTTTTTAGTGAATAGGTGTTAAGCCAGCGGCAATTATATACTAGCCGGTCGACATGTTTTTTCCATAAATATGCTGATAACCGTAGGTCTTGAAGTGGTCAGCGAGTGAATAATTATTCATTCAATGTGTTTTTGAGATTACATGTATTCAGAAGAGAATTTCACGATCCGGATCAGAATGATTTGAACATTGAGTTTGATTCAGTCATTTGCGACTCAGAGTATCAGTGGCTCTGTTAGATACCTCTTAAACACCTAGCCAAATTCTTTATATATACTGAATTTGACTGGTTGACTTAAAGTGAAAGAAAAATCATGGTTTAGATTACAAGCTTAGTAATTATTTACCCACTGAAAAATGTCACAGGTGAGTAGTTTTTCAACTATATGATTGCTGTGAAAGTATGGTTATATTTTAAACACACCAACTGAGCAAAGATCATAGAATCTGATCTCCATGGCACAAAAGAATCATGAACTTATGAAGTTCACATTGTAGCTGGAGAAGTGCCAACATGAACCGTATGACTTGTAGGTAATAACAAAAAAAATGCATAAAAATAAAACCACAGTGAGTTAGAAAAATAAATTTCTGGCGTTTCGCATCCTCATAGAAGCCGCTTCTTCAGGGAATGCAACCTGTACAAGTGATGACATATACAAATAGAGTTACCACTCAGCACATCTATTCAGTACTCAACTTTCGCTTGCTCGGAAATTATTCAAGACGACCGTGAACGTCATCAAGAATGAAGGCAGCAAACAAACGGAAGTGTGAAACACAACAGATATGTTATGTTCCAACAACTACCTTGAGAATATCATTCAATAGATCAAAAACCATGAGACTAAGAATGCAAGAGAAAAACCACATAACCAGCCTTGAATCAATAACGTAGTTCTACCATTTCGCTAAGGTGCAACCGAAACGTTACAAAGAATTTTAGAAAAACACCGAATTACAGCCTTCTACACGACAACCAACACTCACAGGAATCCTTTAATCAATTTCAATGATAGAATTCCTTCTACTTTCACACAAAATGGTGTCTACAGATTAGGTTTAGTCGACTGCGTTGTTTATTATATTGGGAGAATCATTCCACGAGATCTTCAGTTGGGCTAAAAAAATATCCAAGCAACACAAAACAACTTGCGAATAGTCCTGTCGAACTGGAAAAAATTAAAAAATCAAATCGACTATTGCCGTTCATGCCATCCTACACAGTCACAAAATTCATAATGAAAATACTAAAATGATTCAAAAAGGATTTTAAAACTACAAGAAAAGACAGATAAGTGAGGCATTTCATATTATGCTGAATCTTAATAGGCCTTAAAGGTAGGCTTGACTATCCAAGCAACTTAGAGAGCATGTCCGGAGTAACACTTTGTGCACACCAATTATAACTCCAGTAGATACACATACAAAGAAACTGAATTACTCCAATTCATACCTTCACCTTGAAGTCACAGGCTAAGCAGCTGATGACGACGACATTTGTTCCCATATTGTTATCATCGTGTATAAAGAATGTGATCTATTTACCATTTAGGGATGTGACAACGTTTACAGGTTGTATTCTGTGAAGACACGACTTTCGCGGTATCATAAAACGTCTGGGATTTATTTTTCAACTTCATTGGAACTTTAAAAATATGCATCCTTTATAATCCATTTACATCATGATCATCCTAGTCAATTCTCTGAGGTCAAACTTTGATCCTGAAGTCAATAAGCTCATAGTAGGTAATTTGTAGGCTTATTATGCACTGCACTGTTTGCTTCTAGCAGATTTGTGAAAATGGAAAGAACATATTTTTCTTAGTTTTCTTCTCTCTTCATATTCTTTGTCTCCTTTTTCTCCTCTTTCTTCAGTCAAATGCATCAGCTCCAATGTGTTTAGCCTCATTATTGAAATATAGTCCAAGAGCGCTGATACATATACGTCGATTTATTGCTGGTCGTCCAGCAATTCTAGTTCCTGGATTCGGTGATCATTATGATGTATTCCATGTTGCAAATTACTTGGAAGTACCTGTGTGGAGTTCGACACCAACAATAAATTCTTTATTTAGTCTACAGTCAACTACAAGACGTTTAGTAAAACAACTTATCGAGACAATATCCGATAGAGATGTTTCAATCGATTCGAAAAATCAGAATATCTCTAAAGCATCAGCACTTTTCACTTCAGTGATAACAAATCAACGTAAAGGGAACGAAAACAATTGGTCGAGTAGTAATAAACTGGTGGGAGGTGTTGGAAAATTAAAGAAAGATATTAAAAATAGTCAAGCGATGAATGCAGAACAAAATTATTGGTTAGTTGCTCAACCACCCGGCGACTTTGATGTTTATAGTATGGATCATGTAAGATGAATCTCCTGTCTTCTTTATTTGTAACTATCGATCTATTTGTGTATTTTAAGTAGAGTTGATTTATGAAAAAACTGACTAATTTAGGTTACATTTTGGTTAGAGTAATGCTTAAAGTCAAAGAATCATAAACAGTTGTTACTTACTGACTTGAGATTCTACAAAAATGAACATTCAGATTTAACAGGGAACACTTCACCTTTTAGTTAGTACACTTAAATCCAATAGGGCGCATTTTCCTTTCATACAATGTAATCGTTGAACATGCGTCTTCAGTCCAGAAGAGGCTAATCCCAAGAGTTATGGCTTCCTGTAAGAAATTCAGTAAATCCACTTTATTCAGCCGTCTGTTGATATGCAATGTTACTTTTGCTCCAGTTATAACCAGACATGTCTGAATGTTTTACGCTTAGCCGTTGAAAGGAGACTGACTGATAGACGAAATCAAAGTAGAACTTTGCACACAAATACATCTGTTCAAGTTGCTACACTTAACGACAGCATACAAAGAACGAGTGGATAGAAGTGACTGGTATCAGGGTGCACAGAAGTATATGGGAAGAGTGAATTTAAAAATTAAGAATAGTCAAACCACTCAAGCTTCAGAAGACATCAAAGAATGGATACATCTACGCCATTGTGGTCGATTTTCAGACATTTCACCACGAGTTCTCTACCATGGATTTGTGTCAACTCATGAACCCCGAGTGAGTAGTTTACACCTCCCTACGTGACTTAGACCAGCAGTTAGGGATTACATGCACTGTTGTCAAGATTTAGTGTGGTCACCCTTAACCATGTTCCAACCTGACCCCACTTCTCCTAGAATTGAATTTCGAAGAAGACAGCGTCTCGGCATTCAAAGCGCATCTACAATCTACTTCAATCGATGAAATTTCGCAGTCTCATTGAGTGATTTGCCTTCCTTGACTCGTATACTTTACTTGAGCGTTACATTGCTCATATGGTGATTCCGTCATTTGTGTGCAGGGCTACGAAGACACTTGTTGTCATAAACTTGTAACTCCCTCATGTCTTCTACTTTTAACAACCATGTCTCAGCAATATTAAAGAAAAGATCAGACTGCGGTGCAGTATAGGTAATCGGATATATCGCTAGTTGGCATGCAGATGAAAAGAGAATATATCAGGGTACTTTAGGAGCAGATATGAATATCTTATGCAGACGAACCGAATGGAAACTCATTTAGCGACCCTGTGCATTTTCGTCCAGTAGACAGTGAGTCGCATTTTCTGTTGGCCCAAGCACTAATGATACTGCTAAGCTGTCTAAACCTCAGTAGGTGAAATGGTGCTTGAACTCTTGACCGACTGGGTGGAAGCCAACTGTGTGAATAAATGAACCACAGCTGTACCTTTTATGCGATGGGTGAAAAAGTTTCGCGTAGAGGCAATCTCACCTTAGAACATGAGGTTATAATAATAAAATACTGTCTTATGAATCTAAAAGTGTTCCATATGTGAGGTATTTTCCACTTGGTAATGAGACTGATTAATTCATTTGAACTGCTTGATCACTAACAGAATTTTTGCAAGACATTATTTTCAAGATAGTGCAAACAGACAGGCAAACCAAAGTAAAATTTTGCACGTAAGTGTATCGGTACAAGGTGCTGTGGTTCACAGCAACATGCAAAAATGTGAATGAAGAATGAGTGATTTTAAAGTGGAGAAAGTGTATAAAAAAGAGAGAAAGAAACTGAAAAAATACATTATTCACATAATGGCGCTACACCCACTCCAGCACTATTACAGAGAAACATTCAGTCAAAAGCCAGTGACTTTTCTATTTGTTCCACCTATAGCAGCCATGTTTCCCATCCAAACTATGCGACAGCATAAACTACTGTTCAGTATTCTCACCCTCCAGTAGGTTGTCAGATACTTTGCCATCACGAATGTCAGATGGACCTTTCGCATCTTTTATGTCCTAATCTGTATTAAAGCTGAGATCTCGTCAGAAATCTGTCACTTGTTGCTTATACACCTTCTGAAGTGAAGTGGCCTTGAATTAGGAGTCGTTACAAATCATTTTGAAAACACTGTCTTACTTTTGACACGTGCAAAACGCACTCCAAGTATTTTGGTTGGTTGGTTTCTTTGACTGTTGGTTTGAGCCGCGTAATGAAATGTACACTGCTTGAGTGAAATCCCTGTAACAATCGTAACCGGTGGTTGTTAACTCTCGGTAATATGGCTTGATAGGAGTAACTATGACTTCAAGAAGCATTACGTGGTATGATTTAGTGGTAGTGATTTCGTATCTCTGGCTCATGGAAACCGGGCATGCTTTGTACACTGCGGATTACGAGTTGGACCAGTTGCGTATGAAGGTGAGCCATTTTGTGGCACTGCTGAATATCAGCGATTATATCATCAAGTTGACTTGACGGAAACCGTGGTTGACCAGGTCTATATGCGCGGGGAATGTGGATGCGCTGAAGCCTGAAAATTGAGAGGTTGCTGTAATAACACTGACTAGTTTGGGAGGGCATTAACACAATGCTCCGGCATGAGAATTCTCAGCCTACAAATGGGATAGGCAAACAACAATTGTGTTTTCCAAAGCAGAGCAAAAATGCTTGTGGTTAAAGAGCTTGCGCAATCCATTTTAGTTATGGTAAATAACATTGAGTAATTCGCACACCAAATTGACTGGTTGCGAGTTTGCTGTATGGTGTGTGCGCTTATCGACCTAGCGACTTGTTATTAAAGTTAAAAAGATGAAGTTAAATAAGAAACTGTGTTTCTTTGTTTAACTTATCAAAAATATGTTTATTAGCTTACGACAAGTAATTTTAAATTTCAAATTCATCTTTCTATTTAACTTTTCTTATGTAAAAAGCTCTGTGAAACATTGGCGTCATTATTCACAGAAAATTTACCAATCAAAAACTGGCTACTGAAAATTGATAATTATAATATTGATGGACGTGGTACAGCCTTCATATCGATTGAAAATCTTCAGTCATTTAAATGGGCATTAGAACAGTGTCAATGGCATGGACCAGTAAGATGGACTAAGAAATGGGCTCAGGTATAAAATTCGCTTCAGAAGTATTTCTTTTCTTAGCTAAATTTGAAACAAACAAATTTTGCTGGTTCTGTGTTGTGTTATGTTGTGTTGTCAGAGTTAGAAGATTTAATTATGAAGCTTTCATTGTCATTCTAGACAACATCAGCAGCAGCAAAAATTTCAGAAAGTGTGAAGCTTTTGTGAATGACGTTTTTTTACCACTTTACAACTAGTCAGTCTCTGCAAACCTCCAAAACTGAGAAAATAATCCCAACTCCTGAGCACATTGGTCAGTTGACGCGATAGTTAGTCAGTAAAAAGACTCATTTACATGAAACCTGGTTGGACAAGATAATATGTAAATTATTGCATTTTCTATGCGGTCTGATACAAATGATCCTCAGATAACTGGTTGCTTATTCGATAGGAATCAACGAATATACACAGTAGACGCTTAATGGGAAGAGATTGAAAGACTAGTGGAAACACTAGTTCAGAACAAGTATCCATTAAAATTTACCAACATACTATCCACCTGAGGTCAAGATAACTAAAATTTGCAAAGCAATCTATCCTTTTAAGCCCTTACAGTACGTGAATGGTGAAGTCACATCTCATAGTGTTTAACTTTAGGTTTAATAATAGCTATATAGAGAGGACTCATCTATCTTTTAAAGTAAGGATATCCAATACATCTTCAAATGATTGTGGAAGATCCTTAAACTGAAAATAAGGACCAAGTAGCACGGTGGTAAGGTGCTTGCTAGTACATCTTAAGGTTTCGAGTCCGACTCCTGAAGATGTCGTGTGGGATCACTTCTGAGGGTTCCTCTACTAGCAAAAAACAGCTGTCTAATGCTTCTAGGTTTCCACTGGTTCTCCAACCGATGTCAATCCGTGATGGATGCCAACTTGAAGTCAGGTAATCTCCACAAACCTCCAACTTGAATCATTTGATTTCGTTTTTGCTTATAGCAAAGGTCTGTACTCTTCAATGACAAAACATACTATTGAGTCACATCATAAAATAAATGTTTGTACAACTTTTAAAACCAATTTTGCAATGTCGAATTCCACCCATTAAGCCATCAAGAAAAGAAACGATAACTCAGCGAAGAAAATATTTTTTTGACGATGTCACTTTTTAAGGCTGTTCAATCGCATTTATGTCTGTCGCAAAAGGCCCTGACCTAGGTTTCACATCTTTTGGCAGTCTTCGATAAGATGTATCTGCTGATGACTGCCAACAAACCCAAAACCCAGATGAATGAAGGCTTATTGCTGACTGCCCTTAACCAACTAATATTTGTCAAAGTCCATTGTGGTAATGAATAGCCTGGCTTAGTGACCACACTGCAAAACGATCGATGAAACTCAGTTAGCACTCAGTGATCAATCGATTTAGATGGCAATTTATGGTGAGGTAGAGCTGCAAGTTTAGAATGCTGTGCAAAACGGGAACAAATAATGGTTTCTAGACACAGGGAAGTGGTGTAACAATCTGTAAGACATTACAAATAAAGACAGATCTAAAAAATCGAACAAGCTTTTGAGAGACGACTTCAAAAAAATGAGGGAAGTGTTTAGATCACAGGGAGCTAACAGACTGAACGTACCTCTTCTGTATACAGATATCATGCGAGGATTAAGAAACTGGAAGAGTCAAGGCAGCTCACACTTTCAGACCGTGCAAGGCCTGTAAGTTGCTTTCATAGGGTATCTGGGTGCGAAAAAAGATTTGTGTGATCCCACAGCCCAAAAGACATCTGCTTGAGACCTGTTACAAAGCTTTTTGAGGATTTCAAATTTCTTTTGGGATTTTTAGTGTAAGATTTGATTGTTCTAACACCGGGTAGAAAGAAAACCTATACCGTTGGCGTGGAAAAACAATAGAGCAGGGAAAACCGTTCTGTTCCCGGGCTCAAGTTTTCCCCTTCCTGAACCCTCTGGGAGGGCAGCACTAGTATAATACTTTTGGTAAGCCATGGAAAACGCCTTACTGATGAGAGATTTACGTTCAGACAGCAAAATGACATCGCTCTCAGACCCTCATTATGATGTTGGAATGGTAATTGCTTTCCGTTTTACCACTATCCAACAGACGTTCCTGGCATGGTAGTACCTCGTGGGAACGAGTGTTTTGCCAGTGTGGCTCGTTGGGCCACTGTGATATACAAGCCCGACCACCACATCAATCAGTCGGGATTGGATAATTGCCAGTGCCTGTACCGGAAGAATTAGTAAAAATATCTCTTAAAAGTGCTGTAGACTTTTGTACATCAGGCTAAGAGACACACTTAACACTGCTACCATGTCTGAAGTAAATGGAAAGCACTGAAAATAATCTGAAGTGTAGCTCGAAAGCTATATGTAAGCTCATGCACTAGTCAGTGAGCCACACTTAATAACGCTACCCAGCCACCCAAACCTCAGGTGGAAAGGGGTTCCAACCTACAAACCACTGGATGAAGGTCGACTGCCGAGAGTGTTGGGATTAACTCCATTATAAGTGAAACGGAGTTCGAACTTATGCTGTACTTGTAGGTAGTAGGGAGCTTAAACCAGTAAGCAGGGATTCAAAAGCGATATAATGTAGTATTAATAACTTTCTTTACATAACCAAAGATGACTTGTGTAGACTCGGAAGTAAAAACAGTGCTTCCAATAACAGTCCTATCCAAACCTCTCTTTGATCCATGACAGATGGGTTGACAGAGACTCTGATTCTGGTTTCTGACTGTGGGTGTAAGAAAAACGCGGTCATGCCAAGATCCAAACAGGGGTCCTTTGGATTACCACCATGGTGATCCGCCAACTTGGTTACACCTGCCAATCGGGTTCGAACTTCACTTCAATCGGCGATTATCTTACCCGTCTATCACGTGAATGAGTGATACACAGATGTCCGTCATTTTAATGACACTAGCTCTCCTAATCAGGTAGCTTTATCCCAACGCAGATGTGGCTGAACCACAGAAAGAGAGCGAGCTTGGTGAAACCCTCGACAGTTGAAGTGAGTCTGAGACTTGGTATAGCGTTGCAATTCCGAATACTACTGCGACCCAGTGTTCTGCTTCATCTTCAATATCAGTAATAGCAGTCTAACAAACCATGAGAATCTCAGATGGTCTCATTAATAAAACTTTGAATTTCAGTGTCCATCATGCTGGTAATTTTGTAGAAATCACACCTGTGTATACTCGTCGTCGCATATTAACATAGTAGAAATGTTTCTACAAAATGTATTTGACACACAGAAGGACAGGCTATTTGGGTTACAGACTGTGAGTATAAATAATATACGTTTGTCTGTCTGTATGCAAAATCGATTGAGTTGGAATGCTTTGTTTATCATGGTTCCATATCCACATCTCATCTCTATCCTGACTGATCATTTACTTCTATCCTAAGTAGTTGCAAACGAAGTCATCCAGCTTAGTAATGAAACGTTCAGAAACAGACCTCAAAGGTTGAAGGATGCCAAACAGTCATCATCCTCATCCTGATCTAAAAATCGAATCTACTTTATCAGAAAAATATTTCAAAACTCCTTTGATACATACTTAAATTGACTAAGTCTACTGAGATGTGAATAACGTTACTGAATGCATGGAAATACGTAGAATGTACACAAATAACAACTTTTCCCCCTCATTAGTTTATGTTTTACTGACCTGCAAAAATCTCAGAAGATAAACGTCTATCATCTTTGATTGCAAAAGCCATTATATTCTGTAAACACACTTTGGATACATGATACTCAATGTTAATAAAAGTATACTAAGAATGTAGAAACTGGTTTATTCTGATTGGTCAAGTGGAATGCCAAACTACCCAATAAGATTATCCTAACCACACTACAGGATTGAATATAAATGAAGGCTTCTAAACGCCTGCCTCATTGGTCAATGAGTAAAAGGCAATGATTGTTGCTTTCACCACTTACTAACAATGTATGCCATCGAGACGCATGTTTTACACCCGTAAATGCATACACATTTAAACGACTAAAAGCGGCTGTCAAATTAGAAAACTTAAACTTATGCTTATTTAATTTTTTATAACTGACCAACATAATGTCGTTTGATAACAGTAATGTAAGTGGAAGAATAAAAATGTCTATGCTCTAATGATAAACTGAAGCTGCAGAGTGTTTACCAATTGGTTTATGCTACAGTACGATACAGTCAAGCGAAAGTGCTCATGAAAATCAGCTACTAACTTCTTTCACTCGAATGACATTGGAGTTTGAAAAAACTAAAAGGATCAGTACTAAGTAGTATCAGTTACATTTTGTACTCTCTTTAAGTTATAATTTGCATTAAATAATATAAACTGACAGGGATTACAGTTTATACAATGTAGGTTTTGGAATATCCCTAAGTTAAATTCAGTGAACATTAAGTATTTGTCAGTTTCTGATAGCTTTTCTTTCTGTTTTGTGTGAAATTTAGGAAACAACTTATGTCAAAATACTTTCAGAAGTACCACAATTACTGCAAAAACATTTGAAATTATTTCCAAATTGTTTTTATACTGATTCAGCTAGTTTTATACTAGCTTTCCTAAAACATGGTGAGTTTTAATCTATTCGATTACAGAGAAGTCCTTTTATATTTGTCCAAAGGAAGAGAAAGACACTCAAAAACCTTGTGCATATTCATGCAGTAGGCAGCAACCCATACCTATTGCTTGCCTTAGGGTTAATGATACTATCTGACTGCTCAAACCTCAGTAGGTGGGGCGGGGCTCAAACCCGTGACACACATTTTTGAAAGTTGAATGCCTTAATCAATGAACCACAGCTCCACTTTTGTGTGCTTAGCAAACTGTATACGCAAAATGCTGACGTGTTGAAAAAGAAATGAGTTCTCATACTGGTGTTTTTTTTCTTTATGAACTCGATACGAGAAGATAACAACAAGTGGAATAGAATGGCGTGGTTTTATTTAATCTGTTTCTCATCAGCTGCCTGTAACTCACATTGATAACATGATTCCGGTCTTCGTTATTTCACTGCTACAATCTGGACAAACTTTAAAAGATACAAACTACTCTGTTCTCAGTCGATAAGATTCGGAGAGACTGCACTGCTTAAGACACTTCTCCCACTGAGTTGTAATCTTTTCGGTACGTATTAAGAGGATCTAAAGTTCCCGTCTTCTTTCTATTCTGGTAATTTAATTGCTACCACAGATGCACGTAAAATTGTACACAGAACTGGAGGTAATTGAGGAAGGTGACCTGCCGACTTTTGATTGTAGCAAGAAGTATGTTGTCCTATAGACAGGGATCAAGTTTGCCGCAGGATATGCTATGTTCAGTGGAGTTTTGAGCCTTCCATTGATTCCTCCTTTAAAGTTGGGTTCAATGAAAACTGGCTTATTTTTAACTGTAATTTGCCTTAACTTTCTGCCCTCTGATCTTCCATATTTATTGATAAATTCCTGTGAATAACTTCTATCTCATAGGATGTTTGGAATGCTCAACAACTCTGTTTCCAGTTTTTCACTTGAAAATATCCACTAAGCTCTGTAAAACTGTGTTTTCACCAGTCGTCTTTTATAACCGATTGCACGGAAGATGTTTAAATTTAGGTATTGTCCATTCCATGTACTACTTAAATGAATAAAACTTTGAAACAATTAGTCCCTTTTAAGAATTTAGATAGTGTAACTAGAAGACCACGTTTATCTGTACAATATATGGTGTATATGTGCAATACACCTTTCGAACAATCTGATAACACATTTACTTGTTAAATCAATTTATATTAAACCGTAAAGTGAGAGGACAAATGGGCGGTTTCTACATGACATGCAGTCACACAGAACGTTAATAGTCTTAGACAACGGCACGTTGGTGAATAAAGAATTTACAGCAAAAGATTACATAGTCTTGTTTTTGAAAAGTATGTTTCAATGAAAACTTACAGAATTCTTTTGGAACTGGGCTTAACAATTTTGCCAACCATTTCGCCAGTCGATGTGTGAAGGAAAGAAATATAGACTATACAGGGCGAAAACGATTGTTAGTTTTATGAATCTTAGGGAATCCATATAAATTTGGAAATTCAGATCCAATAGCTTTCAATAAGTTATATTCCTCCTTGCTAATGGTATTCATATTCAAAAGTTTTAATAAATAAGCGGTTACTTTTGCTTGCAATTTTCTAATATCTTCTGATAGAGTGTCGGCTATGAATTGGTTTTCATCAATGAGGATAGATAACATTTTATTTTTGTGTGTAGTCAGACTTATTCATCACAACAATGCCTGACCAATTATTGCGTTCGAGAATGATTTTGTCCGATCTGTTCCGTAATTTTTTCGAAGATTTGAAGTGTTGTCAGTTCAAAATACTTCTTTGTCTTGTTTCTGAACTATGGAATTGATGAAAAGTATCAACTAGTTTAGACTCTAAACAACTTCGATTGTCTGAAGATGTTGGGACAAGAGCACTCAATTGGTCATACGGATTTTCAAACCGAGCTTCAATGTCTAGTTCAGCTATTTTCGTGTGTGGAACTGAAAAACTGAATCAAAGAGAAAATGCGTCTTTCTCATGAACTGAAAGTACAATGGATGACAAAGTAGTCACACATTTATCTGGATCGCATGGAAATGAGTTTGTATCATTGTCATCAGAAAGGGGTATAGACATGTTTTGCCTTGTTCTGTCCTTCGTTTCACTGACAGATCTACAAAAATTGGTGAATTTAATGTAGCTTTAGTAAAATGCCTGTTTAGTAGAATCTATCACATTTGCGCATCAGATAGGATGGATGAAGATGTCAAATTACTGATCAAAACAACTGAAGAAAATGGATATCCGTGAAGTTTATAAACCTCTGTAGAAGTCAGGTAGCACCAAAGCCAACTGTATACACGGTTTTTAAGAAAAGCATCCATACCACTCTACCACTTTACTTGGCGAATCTTATCATTATGGAAAAAATAGAACATATGCTCCACTACAAACCTAAAAACTGCATCAATGGTTACCTTAGATCCCATAGTGTTTACCAATTCACCTATGTATGTGGTCACACATACATAAGGAGTAGTTGAGCCATAAACTTGAGGGTGGGCGAACATATAGCTGAATGGCTTCAAAAACAAATGGAGTGTGAAACAATGAGAGACAACCCTCTTCACATATACCTAAACAAATTATCGAAATATGTCACAAAGTTAGTGTTCAAACAGCTTTCGAAGTTTTATACAGTCAGGGACGTGTGCTGAGAATTGTTGGATCGATAGGCATGCACAAATTTGAACCGTGTGTGTGCAAACACAATTTGTCCTTATACTACACGTACCTTAGTAAACTGTTTTCTTACCCAGCTTAGGATCAACTTACTTTTTGTTCTCATCTTTTTTAATTTTAATTCCTATTTTATTAATTGTTGTATTTATCCTCTCACTCTTCGGTTTAATATAAATTGACTTGACAAGTAAATGTGTGATCAGATTGTTCTAGAGATTTGATGCATAAATACATCACATTGTTCAGAATGGAACTTTGAAGCTTAAAAAACCTATCTACTTTGCCCGGAGATATCTGAATGCTGAAGTCCCCACTACTTTCATATGTTGTGGTTAACGTAATGTTTTCATCAGTTCCAGTGAAGAATCATGAAAGGTAGGATGCAATGCGTTAGTCATCGTATAAGATAAACATGTCATCTACATATCCAAAACAAGATGTCGCTTTTTAAATCGTATGCTTAGGCTGTGAATTCTCATGGTAAGCCATAAATATATGTACCAACAACAGGTACAGTAGACTTCTCGTCACCACTCCATCAATTTGTTGGTGAAGAGTACTGATGAATTCAAACAGAACTTCATTAGCATATATTAACATTGCGCGATGTGAATTCTGAAACAGCGGATAGAAAGACAGACAAATCAACTTAGAACGTCACACAGGGGCATTTCTTACTAGCATACAAATGACATGTTCACAGGAGTGGAATGATAAAAAATTAGGGAAAGTTATGCGAGAGAACAAACAAAATGACAATAAAGGTAAGTGCAAATATTCAAGCTTTAGAAGACGGCAAAGAGTGAATACCTCTGAGCTATTGCTACCGATTTTCAGCCATGTCACCAAGAGTCCTCAACCACTGATTCCGTTCGTCTCGGGGATCCCAACCTGGTGGTCAACATTGCATCACACGACTCAGACCAATAGTAGGAGACTTCATCGAGTGGTGAAATGTCTTCGTCTCACCACTTTGAACCCTGTTCCAAGCGAACCCAACTTCCGCAGCATGGCACGTTGAGGCAGGGGGTGACTTTGCATACCCAACACATTTCCAAACCATCTCAGTCAATTAAAGTTCACAAGCTCATCAATAAACTCCCCTGTCCTGCCCAGTACCGTTCATCTGATCTCAAGATTGCTCACGGTGATTCTAGCACATGCAGGCAGTGATACGAAAACATTTTCGATCAAAACCGTCTAGTCACTTCATTTTTTCTGCTTTTAGCGGCCATATTTCACAGCCGTACAATAGCGGAAAACAGCATTCTCGTCCTTTGGTAGGTAGTTGAATATCCTTTCAGTCGATGTCATAGATGACGCAAGTTGGCAAATGCCAAACGGATCTTCTGTATCCAGGTTGAGATTTCGTCACCAACAGCCTTTCCAGGCTGATGTAACTTCCCAAATGACGGAAGTGGTCGACACAATTCGTCACTTGCTTCTATATCGTGTAACTGGGAGTACTTTAAACAGACCAGTCGTGGAGCATCATCCCACATGTGAAATGCATGTCGAACATACTCAGTTTTCTGCTGAACTTATCGAAAATATCCTGAGTTTTGTTAGCGTCTTCATTTTATCGGGACAATATAGTCTGCATATTCCACGTTAACCAGATGATCTCCAGGGATTAGATTGATCCCTGGGATGAAGTAAGACGTACCTGAGATTATGTACGTTAGTCCGTCTATGATGAAGTTAAGTGGGAGCGGTGACAGTGGGTATAACTTGGCGTACGGTTTGCTTTGTTAGAATTATCTAGTTTGTGTTTTCGTTCAATGTTATCATAGGCTTTCAAATTATAGTGAGTTATTGATATTAGGACTTGTTTCTGTTTGGTTTTTGAACCAAACTGATCTGTATTTGTTGAAAAATAGGATGCTGCACTGATGGTTCGATAATGTCCAAATATTCATTATGACATAATTTATTTGGTGGTGGTTAGCATTGGGATCTAGATTACGTGTTTCTTCATATTTGAGACTGACTCGTCAGCTGGGAGTGACGATGTCATCACTAAGACTTGAACCCCACACTAATCTCTTCAAACGACACAACACAACCAACTGAACTACCAACCGATGAGGTCCACCTCTTGTTCAACTGTTATATTTTGACATTAAAACATATTAGTAATAGATACTATTTTCACAAAATTTTTTTTCTGGCAATACAAAGGTGGTGTAATTGAAGCTTGTCCACCGACAGATGAATGGACAAATCTTTCAGTTGTCATCGTAATTCTACCAAATAAAGCTATTCGTATAGTTACTAGTGGTGATCATCTTCATTCTGAAGATAATTTTTATACCTGGGGTGAAACAAGTAAGCAAATTTAGTATAGTGACTTTCTTAACTACATTTATTAACTATGACGCACTGAATGTTTAATATGGGAGGGACATTTTGATTCTCAGAAATTATCACTATCTTTTGATGAAGAGCTATAGTATGGGTTTTCACCTAAGTGGTATAATAAAGCTGGTGATAAGAAGCTTGGAGCATAAACACCATGCTTTTTTATAATAAAATCGGCAAACTTTGATCAGTTGTGAAGACCACCAAACTAGGTATATGGCTACATGAACACACTTCCCCCTATTTCTCTGTACATAATCTAGTCCTACAGGGAATGACTTGTGAATTAAATAGCCTAATGAAACAGTATTTGTCTTTAGCACTGGGAGAATATGAGTTTCCTGATAGTTGCATATATGTCTTGGTGATGAGTGCCAGCAAGCAGGAAACCCATGTCAAATTGAGTCTGACGCCAGTTGAATCCTAACATCATAGAACAGGTTACAGCATTACTCAACATCTGATAGCACATACATATAATCAAGTTTTTGAAATGACTTATTCAATATTCGAAAAATGGAGCTTTTTAACAGTGTTACCTTGCCATCAAGCTTCTCGAAATTTATATAAAACAAATTCGAATACTATCCAAACTGTGATTCAATTGCAATACATGCTAGATCATGAAATAGTCGAATTCACATCAAGGAATTGGTGTTCCCCTTATGTATTTGCTGTTTCAGACTCAAAAGGCATCATTTCCGTAGGCTTGCATTACTCAGTACTATCCTTTTTACGAAACCATTTGATCCTATATATATATACTCTTCAGTATTTAACGATTTAAATATTGCTGAAGAAAGGAGTGATTATCCACTGGAGTATCTGCCCGTATGTGTGTTTTTCATCGACGAAAAATTTTTCAGAAGACATCGATCATGAAAACTTACACGTTATTTTTATGTAGTTTCATCGATCTTTTCATGAATCTTACTGGTTGCTTTTTCGGGTTATATGTGTATCACACTTTGAATGTCATATTGTCTAGAAAAAAAAATTACCAATTTGTCATAAGAAAATCTACTTATTTCCGCATGAGTTATTTTTTCATAATATACCCCTGAGATTCTCACGGAAACGTTCCTATCTCCACGTCAGCATGTATTGGGACCGTGTAATTTTCTTACACTTACAAAGGATGGTATTTTTTTACAGAATCATGTTGAATGGCTTAAAAAAAGTGAAAAACACGTGCAGAAACCAAACCGTCTCCACACTGTTTTCAATACTTGTGATCACACCTTGGTATATTTGGTCGAACTGCTCGACTTCTGTTTTTAGACAGGCTTCTATGCGGATGCCTCGAAACTGCCCGATTACCTATTTTGTTGTAATCTACTTGGTTGGCAGCAGTGGTCTATGAACAGGCGTCTCACCCTATCATAATGAGTTATCGGGCAGTATTGAAGCGTCCGCATAAGGACCCATCTGCCAACAAAGGTAGAAAAATTTATCTCTATATACTAACGGGAGATCACAGTTAACAAATCAATACCTTATGTCCTATGCACAAAGGGTGATCCTCATGGCCAGTTACCTAGTGGATATATCTCTGGCACTTGAAGCGATTTGTACTGGGTTCGAGTATCAGTGGGAACAGCATCACTTACTGGGGTGCAGATACTTATAACTGGGAGTTTCAGACAGGATAAAACGTGTGTCCTGGATTCCACTGCTATCCGCCAAGCTGATTACGACAACCCTTCTTGACTTTTACTGCAAAACAGAACAAACAATTCTCTTCTGAATTGATATATTTCACATTTAGTATAACTTATCGTTAATCGTTTATTATAACTCTAATTAATCTCTAGCAAATTTTGTCAGTATCTTCACTGGTATTAATAAAGCTAATGAATACTACTGTTTATAAGTGGCATTTTTTACAGGCAAACTAAGGAATTCTAACTTTTGGTGTGGAGTTCGTAGTACTGCTCTAATATTTATCAGGTAATGGACAGGCTGAACTGATGACTTTGATATTATGGCGACATACAAGTGGTAAATCCCGTCACTAACAAATGGAGTCAACAAAGTTTTTTTATACACACAAGAAATAAAACTGTCCTACTACTGAATATACCCTTATAATTGTTTTGGTTAGTGACTGGGGATGGAGATAAAATAATTTCAGTTTTTGTAAACCGGTATCTTATTCTAAAAAGGCATGTAAGTTTGACCAAGGCTTTCAAGATAGCGTTTTCCTTAATCATTCCACATAATTTTGGTTTTGACTTTGTGTTACTTGTAAATTTAATAGTAGTAAAAAGCAAATAGTAATTAACTTTTAATTGTTTATTGGAACTTTGCAGTACCGCTGACGTCAGTAGCACCTCGATGGGTAAACCATCTGAGTATGGAACTGGGTTCAATAATGGCTAATAAAGGAGTTGTTGGCCATGTCAAGATTGATTTTGTGACATTTATACACCCAGAAAAAGTAAGTATATTTCAAAAAAGATGGATAAGTGCATTCTAATTGGCACCAAATCCCATGATCAGTATTTCTTAATATTTAGGTGCATTCGTGTGTGAGTCCTCTAGTCCATCGTTATACACAATAAAATCTTGGATTACTTTACTATTCTGAACATGGTGAATAATTCAAATTATGATTCACAAGAAATTGTTGCCCATCTGCCTAAGCATGACTTTCAAACAGTAGATCCTGCGTTCAAACTTTTGGTCCACCTACTTCAATCTGTAAACAAAAAGCTATTACAGAAAAGGCATAGTTCATGGTCTATTACAGCAGTTCCTAAACTAGATTCAGTTACTTTATCGTCATTAGTAAAATTATTTTCAGTTTTATGACTAACAAGAGTTTATTTCTAAAAAAGGTAAATTGTTGCCTACAATAAAGCCAAATGAATGCAAGATTCACAACTAGGTATCGACATACTACTACTAAGTGTAATCCAGTTTTATTCAAAATTGAGCTGTGGTCAGCTCGACGCCTGGAATTATATTGAAACTTTTTCCAACGAATATTTCTGATCGTCAATATCGGTTGGGAAGCAATGATATTAATCTATACTGCCAGCTGGTAGTATAGCTATTGTGATTAACTGAGTTTGGTCTGTGTTTATTAACGACTGATGGTGAGATTGGTGTTTAAATATTCATGTCAGTTAGTAAATTATGATGTCTAGTTTTTTTTATCTAACTGAAGATCACATCTAATTTACAGAGTTGTGAACTTTTAAGGTTCACAGCTGTTTTGACGGCTCAATAATTTATTGGCACACTACAGAAGTAGGTAACAGAGGGATCCAATAAATGTCTTCTCTGTTGACTTTTGTTTAGGTGAGCTTAAAATCGTGCATGTGTAGACTTCTATCCAAAGGGTTAATCAGCATTACCCATAAAACTGAGGACTGATGATCGTTATCTGTCTTTCACAAAGATTAAAGTTTTCACTAATTTAGGAAGTTGATTTTCAAGCAGTGAGCGGCGAGGTAGAACACCAATCCAATTAAAGAAGTTTGAATAGCCAGGCAGCACCATTAGCATTCGTACAGTAAGTGTGACTCACTGTCTATTGCACCAATAGGCTCAACGTTTTTGAGTGGATTTCTAGTCGAATGCGGTTTATGATGTTATTAACACTCGGGACAAGTAGAATTTCAATACAGTATTCTTAGTGCAAGCGGAAAATATATACTACCGAACAGCATGAACACTTAAATATGACCTAGATCGATCACCTACAATATATATTTCAGTTATTTCAGATTTGTTTCAATACTGAATAACTTGCTGAAATGTTTCAACTTCTGTTTTTCAAGAGCAGTTGGCTATAAAAACTACTTTTTAAATGTCGTGACTGATAATCATCGTTTTTACAGACGGCTTAGAAGGTGACAACAGTATGAACACCAGTAGGCGCCAATAAAAAGCCCTCATCAGTATGCGTCTTCTGTCTTCTTGTTTAGCTTGCTTGCAGTTGAGTTCATCAATGTCCAACTCAAGAAGATTCAGTTGAGTAGGCTTCTTAGTTCACAATTTTCTAACAAGAAAATGACATGAAATGATTGGCATACTAAGGGTTGGTTAACAAGAAATGAATCGAAATGGCGGTTTGTGAAGATTTGTTGATTCCAAGATAACAGATGGTGTCAAACAAGCCGATTGAGAAGATGAACACTTTCCAATGACGTTAGATAATGGTCAAAACAGACCTCGAATTGACAGTGCTAGGAAAGTGTGTGGAACACTGGGTTGAAATCCAGTGAAGGAAAAGTGATGTGCTCGCTGTAAGACCTAATCCTTATAAAGTTGACCGCCTACTAGGTAGTGAGCGTGCATTTCTGAAGAGTCTTAAACTAAGATGAAATATCTGTTCAGTTCATCTAAGTTTCCAATGATTTCCCAACTGGTGTCAATCATGATTAATACTGCATAGAAGGGATGGATTGTTTGCATTACTTTTGGATAAAGTGGTCTAAAATATTCGTACATCTTATCAGAACCACGTTAGATAAATTTATAAAAAAAGTCAAACAGAATCAAGTAATATGAATCTTCAGTATTATCAACATTTCAACTGGTTGATAAAGCCTGCTAATTGGGATGCTTAATATTCACCTCTTAGTCCCACAGCAAAGCTTGTTTTGAATTCTTTTTTCTTTTGACAATAGAGCTGTATTAAAAATGCCTAACTGAATATTTTTTTCATTTTAAGTGAATCAAGCAGTGTTAATATTATCCGTGTAAGGCAGAGCCTAGTACAATGAGGTCACATGGTGAGCGCAATGCAAGTTAACCACTGTGTTAAAAGCTAACTGTTCAGACTTTTCTACTTCGATCATTTCCTCCATTATCAGTGATGAGTATCCGCTCTCATAACCGACTGCATTGACTTTACTAGTCATCTCTTTTCAGTCCATGATAATAACCACCATTAAGTCAGTCAGAAAGCTAAATCTTCAAAATACTAAATTTCAGTTATCTGTATTGTGTGCATAGAAAACCTATGTATCCGCTTATTTGATACTATATCTTTAATATTGTATTGTATTACTTCGTTTCAAGCTTCTAGATATTAAAGTCTTCGTCAACCTTGAATTTTCATCAGTAGAAGGGTTGAGAGAAACTCGGGTTTCATTCTTCAATGACAATATTCAATTGACATGTAGCTTAATAGATTAGAAGATTGACTGACAGTTCAAACCCTTCATCGCTCACAGAGTACTGGCTAGTTAAACATTAACAATATTCCCACCTTGATAGATATAATTTATAGTCTAGCATGTCGCTGATTAAACTGAAATCAGCAGCCGCCATTGGTATATTGGCCCTAGTACGCATGGCTGGATATAAATGGTAATTACAGATTGACATTAATGATCGGCAGTGGTTTAATTAACAAAGGGAAACTGTGAGCCTTAAAATGAAACCATATGCATCGAACATGGAGTAGCTGTGTTAACTAAATGGCATTGTGGATAACCTCTTAGCGTTTGTGGACATAGGTGCTAAGTTGAAGTCTTACCGGGAGCAGCATTAGTTGCGAACTTGCGCAAACTGATGTGGCTTGGATATGAGCACACCGAGCCACTACCTATCTACGTGTTTGGTGTTAGTAGTGGTAAGATCGACTCTTAGTCTCAGCTGTGTATGAAGGCATAGACTGGCTGGTTGAAGTCTTCGAGACAACAGTAATTAGTGGTTGAAGACTGTTGGTGATACGTATGAAAATTGGTAAAAGTGGCATAGATGTGTAAAATCCTCGCCATATTTTCACTGACCTTCAACCACTTATTCTGGCCCTCCTTATATAATTTTCCCAACTTTCTTTTTTAACTCATTTGCTCTTTGCATGTTCCTGTGACGTGTGGCAACTTGAACTAAGGCATCTGTGTATAAAGACCAAGTTGTACACTAGTTCGTCTGTCTGTCTGTCTCTCTTTCTAGGTAAGTTAGTCACCACTTATTTAGATACAGTATTTTTTCTATAATTATGATGGAAATAACTCAACCTAAGTTAATCTGTTTTAATCTCTCCTAAATGGGTTTTCTGCCTTTAGAACGAACAAACTTTATGGATAACTGGAATTAAACCAGGTTACACGGATCTGTTGGCTATGACACAGCTTGTATTATTTGCGACAAATACAACATTTGAAATAGCTACGTTAACAAGCACTGGTGAACATCAAATTATCGCTAAACCACCGATAATAGAGAAGAAAGTTAACCTACAAACACACAGGTTAACAACAACGCAATGTGAACATGACGGTGAATTCCAAAGAAAGGTAAGTACACTTTACCTGAATGAAATAACATGCTTCAAATTAAATGTCATTCAACACGTTTTTATATAACTCATAATAATGTCAAAACACTGTTAATTGATTTATTAGACAGTAAAATGAGGTTTATGCTGCACAATCTCTCCTGTGGTCATTTTCACTTACATTTTATTGATATGAACTGACATGGCATCTTTACTTAACAGAGATTGCTTGGGCAGGGAATATATATCATGCTTGATCGAAGTAGAAGGATCTTTAATTGAAAATATGCTTTAATGATGAAATACTGATGTGTAGAGTATTCCCCTCCAACTGGTCGATCCCACTGGTCACAGCTTCTCATAAGAATTTCAGGATATTCATTTTGAAGCTGGTTCCAACTGAAGATCTTCTTAGATAGACGTGCTATAACGTAAATTGGTAGGAGTGTAAAAATGTGAAGCAGGGAACACTGGTGAAATGTTTGAGTGGTTATGGGTCCGACCCTTGATGATCCCATGAGGCATACTGGTGGGGAGTTCCTTACTGAGACACCAGTGCTCCCAGGTCTTCAATTGTTCTCCAATTGATGTTAGTCTCATTGCAGTATAAGTGGAAGTTATTAGTGATTTCCAATCTCCTGAAGTTGAGAATTATAACTATTTGTATATGTAAATTGTTAGTAGTTATTGAATACGATGACCAGGTGAAAGAAGTTTGAGAACCATTACCAATAGGTCAGGTTTATAATGCACATCACACCTGTGAAGCTGTCAACATGGTGTTATAGTAATTTCTGGGTCAAAGATTAAAAAGGTCAAAACGACAACGAAATGTGACACGTGAAAGTAACACCTGTATCTTTGATTTTCAGTCACATGTACCTTATAATTTACTCGGTAGTGATGAACAGTAGAATTCAGCACACGCATTCCGTCCTATTCCGGACTCATCACAGCTGAATGTACCTGCATCTCAGTAAGTGTTGTCCTCACTGAGACTCGAATCCAGCACCCATCGCTTCAAACACCTAAAAGGTTATCTAGTAAGCCCCGATGCACGAAGTACATGTATTGTGTAATGAGTTTTGGTTATTAGTATTGAATAATACACAAAATCTATCATTTATACTCAGAACATGGTGACCCAAAATTACAAGTATCGATAAATAATAATAACCTATATCTTAAATAAATAACCAATGAACGTGCCATTATTATGAAAATCGGATAGTAATAATAATAATAATCCAGTACTTATTAGTTATTTGCTTCGAGATGAACTCCCTTAAGCTCTACTGAGAGTTCATGACTTGTAGAATTAATTAACTCGAGTGTGAAAGCATTTACTTACAGATAACATTTTATGACCGTTTAAAGTACATCGTGAATTGACAAAATGTATACAATATGGCCCATTGAACTAGACAGCTGGTAGTTCAGGTCCAACGAAAATACTTTCCAGTTCTCCTTGATTTTCTGTAATACTCTAACTAATACCCATACAGGATGAACACTTTGAAACAAGAGACTATCTCATAATCTTTCTATCACTTTGCTAATTAATATGAAGTGGAACTTAGAGGTTCTTTTTCTTGATTCAGTCACTATGACAGTTCTGTTTACCCTATGGGTGGCTAATTTTAAATATTATCGTGACCCTAGTCTGTTAGAGCTATCTCATATAGCTTAGTCAACAATCAATCAGCTGCCGCACTATTTCTAATTCATTTCAATTTGAATTAACCAGAGACGATAGGACCTTGAATGGCAGTGTAATGGTCAAGGGTGAATAAATATGTCTAAGTTGTTCTACTGAAATACTGCAGGAACTTTTGTTGATTGCAGCAAAACTGAGTATTAGTTCCCATAAAAATCATCATACTTCATCTGATGCATATCGGTATAAATTGTTTCTTTCTCTCTTCTCTTTCGCTCACTTACTCACTCACACACACTGAATAATTGCTTTTTTAATAGTTTCCCAAAATCACAGTAGCACGAATGTTACGAAACCTGAACTGTTTATAACCCTACCTAGTTAGTTTTCAGTGAAACATCTCTCACCGACTACTATGACAAATGCCATAGACTTGCGTTGACGCCTGTATATCTGTTATTTTTCCAGAATATTCATACCTCCACTGAATTAGTTATTTGGAAGGTGGAAGAGGTGATAAATAAATAAACTCTTCAACAGTTATATCTGAGATGTATATGACTATTGTGCTGAAATAAGTTTTCAGGGTGGGGTCTTCTCCAGATACTATGATTTGAGTTCTTAGCATGAAGAAGCTTGTGCGTTGTAAGTGTGTGCATAAATAGATGTTAACAAGATCTTGGAAACAGCATGAAATATGATACATCCAGCTTTTTTTTCACAATAATCAGAGAGATAGGTCATAGTGGAACCTCGCCCAAAGATGCACTGGCTTCATAAACCACCATCAATAATCGCACACAAAATTTGAGGACACAAACTGAAGGGTGTTAAAAGTAAGGAGAAACAATATAAGAAGTTAGGGAGAGGTTAACAGTAAATGGACAACAGTTAGGAAGAAATGCTCCAAATTTTGAAAGTGATAAGCGCTGAGAGTTTTCAGCTTGAAGTTTCCAGTATCTTAGAGGTCCTACTCAAATTAGCTACACTTCTGCACCCAACCAAAAATGGGTGTCGCGGAATTTATAAGGCTAATCTTACATCTCTCTCTGTTCTAACTTCATCCTTCCTAGGGCTACACTTCACTTTAAAGTAGACAGCAGTCGGACATAAGTATTTGCTGATGCAGATTCACCAGAACGCTCTACGCTCAACTTCCATTTTACCAACTATGTATTTTTATCGGATACAGGAAAACTTATGAAAATAACTAAAAGCTATAACCTATAAGCTCTTCATTTCACAGTCGACAACCACCAATTTTGGTTTATGCTTTGATATCCTCATGCATTACAGCATACAACCTCTGATGACATCAGGGATAACTTATGATGAGACGATTTTTCGCTTTTATTTCAGAAGCTTAAGCGTTACGCTGTGATGAGTACGCGTTTACAACATTCCAACCTAACTATGATACAATATTCAGTATTTTTCAAAATATGCCGTGCAAACTATATTGGATATGATTTAAAAGTAAGCTGACATGCGGATAGCATCACGGTCTCCATACAGTCAGTTATTTAACCTCATTTTGTTTCTTTCCGATTTGAGTCGTTTCTCTTTTTAATACATGGTTAGTGAGTTTGGTTATTTGCTGGAGAAAATTAGGAAACTTGACGTACACTGTTGCACGACTAATGGAACCAACAGTCCCTTTTCTTTTAGCACAGTCCTTACCTTGCTGTCAGATGATGGTAGGAAGCTAGCAGGGAACCCTGGTTGACCTAGACTTCGAGTTTTTTGGCACTCACCAGCGAAAAATGTCTGAAACCGCGAAGGAAATGATATCTCATGAGAAATTCGGATCTGCGTACGGCAGTGCTACAGTCAGACATGTCACCATCGAACCATTTACACAACTGTTCAACCTCTTGTCGAACAGTGACTGATCACTGGCAAGTGAAGTGCTGAAGTCATAGACAAACCCTAAGCTATCCTGGTCGTGGCTGACCCCCTGTTGGGCTAGATTATTTACACAAGGTGCTCATCAGTGAGTGACCGATGTAACTGACTAGTCAAAGTATACCGATCAAGTTTTACAATGCGCACACTAGGCTAAGTGATGTGACATTTCAGTGTATTGTTTTTACCATTTGTGACATGGGGAAACCCATGTCAAAATTTGGGTATGCCCTCCAACAAGTCTGCTCTACTGTACACTATGACTACGAAATACAGTTTCTCGAAGACACAAGTAACCAAACTGTTGCAAGAATGTCCAGTTGTATAATTGTCTTCATATGATAGAGTTTCTCCATAAGAATCGTGCAAGCTAGGGATAGGGGTGTAATAAGAAACTTGTAAACCTTCATCGGCTAAAATGATTAGGGCATGTGCTAAACACGTTGAGCCACTGTCCATTTTGGTGCAAAATTTTGGAAATATTGAAAGAGAATCATAATGCCAAGAATTACTGCTGGCCAGATCAAGAAATGTCGCTCATTTACGAAGTCTGTTACTAGAAATGATTAACATAGCTATAAAGGTAATATCTAGTTAGAATCTTCGAGCTGTTCGGCAGAAATCAGTAGTTGGTGAAATATCTCACAGGGAAAATGTTATTTATCAGATTTCATCCACCTAGTTATATCTTCTAACACATCCTCCTTCATCTTTTAGTTTCTTTTGTCACTTCGATTCATTTGTGATTCTGGTGGTGGTGTTGGAAACCAGTTGCTTGAACATTGACATATTTATGTGGAGTTCTGAATTATTGTACCGATCGCTTCACGTTTGAGTGAAATTAACTGACTGTTTGAGTGAAACAAAAGCTCAAAACTCTAATTAACGCTTTTTGTTTGTTATCAGCAACTATCTTTAGGGAGAAAGTTCTTAATATTTTAAAATGATATTGTTATCTACACAAGATAAACAGACAGACATACAACAATGCATAAGCTGGCAAAACAGTTCACCAGTTCAAGTTGTAACCCTTTACAACACGTCAAAGAACCAGTGGGCAGAAAAATTTATATTAAGGTAGATGAAAGTGTTCGTCAATTGAGAGAAGAATGAGATGAAGAATACTGAAAATTCCGATGATGACACATAGGGAGTTATTTTCGGCCGTATCACTGAGTCTTCAAACATCGATTCTTGTTAGCTTGACGAACGGAGCCAAGCAGTCTACACTTCACGACATGACTAAGTCCAACAATCACAGACTTGATGAACTTGAGTCTAGGCTTGATCTGGTCATTCTTAGCATTTTACCAATCCAATCTTACTTCACCTAACTTCGTACGCTGTGGTGAGCAATGAATAGCCATACCCAGCAAATGCCCAAGCCACATCAGTTGGTGAAGTTTAAAAACCTCATTGATTAACTTCCCAACCTGACCTAGTAGCCCCTGCCTATGCTCACAATTTTTCCACCAGTGGTTTCATCACACAAAAAGTGCAACGAAGATGCCTACTGTCTCTTTAAAACTTTCACTTTGAAAGAAAATGCCACAAAGCCGTACAATAGGACGCAGTGGACCACAGTGGAGTATACTCATTTTTTAATATATAGTCGGACATTTCATCTGTTGAATTTGATGGTTTGTGGGGATTTCGTGATTTTTCAAGTTGGGGTTGGAGGAACATTGGAAACCTGGGTTCGCTGGACAGCCATTTCGTCCTAGTATGGGACTCCTCAGCAGTGCGTACACATGACCTCACCGGGGACCGAACCCAGCACGCTTAGGTTCCGTGACCAGCACGTTACCATCCGATTCCTGAGGAGCCATGGACTAGAACGAAACAGCTGTCCAGTGCTCCCAGGTTTCCAATGTTCCTCCTACTGATGTCAGTCCATTTCATCTGAACCGAAGATAATGTAAGTTGGCAAATAGCATATGGGTTCTTTCTATCCAGGTTAGGATCTGGTCGACAACTAACCCATATGGATCGTGCAGCTCACAAAGTAAATGATGTGATCAAAGGGTTCTACCACTTCACTCCTATCCTTAAAGTAGGATTAACTACATACCATTTCTGAATCATGGCCTTAGATTCGACAGGTGCAAAACGCCTGCCGAACGTACTCAAGTTTTTAGTTTAATTCAGTGTTTGACCCTTGATTTACACTTAAGACTTAGGATTTGTCTTCATCACAAGTTTAAACTAATGGTTGAGTTACATTAAAACAGCTATTCAGTCTTCCTTCGTATTATGATCCACCTTTGTGTTGAGTGTTGCTTCCCAATGGAAAACTTCGTCAAATCTAGGACCTCATCAATATTACCACACTGAATGTTAAGATGTCTTGGGGTGGTGTTAGTACCATAAGAGCTTGTGTGAAGTGTGCTGTAAACAGTATTGGGAATGAAAATTGGAGAAGCCACTGGATTTTGACCGTTACATTTTACGGTAAAACTATAATACGCATGTGACGAAGTAAAGTAGCTTACTCTTTAGAACGTGCCCGAATAGGTATCGTCCGTTTGATTTCTCAATAACTACAATAATCATAAAACATGACACTTTTGTTACATAATCCAAATCACGAAAAACTTTCGTTGCAATGAAACTGGTAAACATAATAATAATCTCACTTTATCTGGCATAGTTTACTCTCGAACTGTCTATTCATCAGGTAGAGGTTTTCCGCAATTTGGAGAACAACGAAAGGTTTCTTATCAGGTTAACTGACTTACATACGTCCAAGGCTTCACGTAAAACATATTTTCTCGTTCATTTTCGTAAAGACAAGGGGTATACTGGTGACATATGTCCAAGTCTTCTTCAACCTCTCAACTATATTAGTTGATAGACTTGTCTTTACCTGCCGGAGAGTGGCGGGGCTCAAACCAAGACCCTCTAGAATGGTCAGTTGATGGTATAAAGATGAATCTACTACAATCAGCTGTTGATCAGATCTAAATGCCTCTTCAACCACTTCAAGGTAAGACAGACTATCTTGTGAATAAATTCTCGATAAAAGCCCATCAGTAGCATTATGACGCTAGTTGTCCAGTCAGGCGTTGTTGACTATATCAAAAATGATTTGAATTAGGTAAGCAAAATAACTTAATGGTTTGTGAAAACTTTTCTGTTTTCGCCCATTTATTTAAGGAGTTATAGCCGTTAAACACACAGACCGAGTGGATAGATCAGGATAGAACGTAGCCGAAAAATGTGTTGGATTAAGGTGCCACAAATCACAGTAGCATGCTGAGAAAAAGTGAAAATGAAGACAATGACTTTAAAGTTTAAAAAAAAGTGTAAGAAAGGAGAGATCTTGACCAGATGATAACCGACAGATAAATAGATGGCATATGACAGGATTATATTCAACACTTTGAAGGTAACAAAGAATGCATACGTGTGTACCATTTCAATCGAATTTTACTTGCCATATCACCCAAATCATCCAACATTGACTCCTGTCATTTTCACGACTTCAACCAGATAACCTGTATGTCAATAAATGATTCAGATCCCCTGTGAACTGCATCACAGACTGGTAACACGAATTGATCTAGTTCATCTCAGTTTTCTTCCAGTTTGCTTCCACTTCAGCGAATATTGCGTACTGAAGTAGGTACGCAGCTTTAAGTAACAATGTTCTACTAAGAAGACATTTTTAAGTGGAGTTCACTAGATCCTCATGTTAACTAAGAACGAACTGCAAGCAGAACATGGCACCAATGTTATTAAGTGCAGCTATTTTAGATAGAGATCGATGCTGAGTATTTTCAAATAATCTAAATTGTTTAGTCACTTTGTGACGTTGTTAATGAAAGAGAGGTTAAGCAAGTCGTTGTTGCATTACTCATACTTCGTGATTTACGTTGTCATTCCTAAATGTCCTACACTGTCTATACATAGGCTTCTTGTGATACCGATACGTACTTTCTTGGTTGTATTGAGCTGGGTTATTTAGTCGTGGAGCTTTCATCGTCTTTCTAGACGACATCATCAGCACTAACTTCAGTATGAACTGAGCTGTCAATATCTCTCGGTGAGTAATTTAGGGGCTTGCTCTGACGATATGGTCTTTGATTGGTTATTTCCTTTGATTGTTGTGTCATTGACGGACTGACTGATTGCATAGATCTTCTTGTTAGTTGTTGCTCTGCTTGATCTCTGACCTTTCTATCGTTTATCATTCTTCTTATTGGTTCATAGATTGGGTCTGTCTATACATTTATTGGTTGCTGACTGACCTGAATGCCGAGCGTCCAGGAATTCTCTGATATTCTTTCTGTTTCCTCTCTCCATCCAAAATTTCTACATTGTCGAAATTGAATTCATGTCCACAGTTGTTATCCACATGCATTGAAATGTGTGATGAAATGTCGTGACGTTTAATAGTTAATTGGTGTTCATGTAGACGAAAGCGAGGAGGGCAACCATTTTGTCTAATGCAGTATTGACTACCATTATTGCAGTTGATTTTGTAAATGATATTCGGTTTGTCTTCTTTGGTTGTCGCATCCTTTGGTCTGGATAATAGTGTTTGGAGGGGATTTATTGATTTATGAGGCACACAGATTCCAAGTGGTCTCAGTAATCTTGTCGTGATTTCTGATATTTTATTTACGTTTGGTCGGATGATGCGTTTGTTGATTTTTGTCGTTGGCTTTGTAGCTGATGTTGTACGGGATAGGCATCTTGTGATAAATTTTCGTGGGTAGCCGTTCTTCTTAAGCGTGGACATCAAGTAATTTTCTTCTTTTCTCCGCGAAGTTATTATACTGCAGTATGTCCTTGCTGTTTTGAATAGAGTCTGCACGCAATTGATTTTGTGTGTTGTTGCTACGGTAGTTGAGGATTTGGTCAGTGTGTGTTGGTTTCCTGTACACTTGGGTTTCTAGCTTTCCGGCATTTGTCCTACTGACTAGAACATCCAGGAATGATAGCTGGTTGTTTGGCTCCTTCTCTTCTGTGGATTTAATATCACTGAAAACGTTGATATGAACTTTCCTTTAGTTGGCTGGAGGCGACTGGTGGGAAGTCCTGCTCCACTCAGGTTGCGTGAATTTTGACATTAGTCAGTAAGACAGATTTGCAACTTCGAGAGAAGTGATGGCCCCTTTACAAACTCATCATGGAAAATGTTCTGGAATACACTGAAGAAGGCACCTTAATTAATGATTGGGTTTTTACTGATTGCTTTATCTATAATAAGCATGATTAATAGATTCACTTAAGTAATTAAAATGAATTCATCATAACGATGTAGTGAAATTGATAGTCTACTCATATGCACAAGATCTTATGAACTTGGAATTATTCTGTTGTGATAAGAATGTTGAATGCGCCAAGTATTTCCTTGTCTCAGCTACCTAAGGTTAGTAAGTGGGATGGAAGACGATGAGAATCATTAGGCTTATTGGTTGCTGAGGCAAAATCAACAACCATAACAAACCAGAACTGTACGATTCTTTATATTATCGTTATAGCATTCCTGATAAGATCAATAAGAGTATTTTAAGTAGTATGAGGATTATTTGTAATAATGCTTGGCAGTAGCTAGCAGTGGAATCCAGGACGTGCGTTTCGTTCCATTTGGGACTCCTTGGTTAGGTGTACTCACCTCACAGAAAGTGTTGCTCCCACTGAGACTTGAACCAAAAACTAACCCTATCCAACATGATAGTGCCATCCACTAGACCAGCAAGCCACTCCAGAAACTCCTTTCGCGATGGGTAAAGTGTAGTTTTGATGATATAGCTTGTAATTTTCTCTTGTTGATTAGACTGAATTGACCGATCCCTACTGGCAAATGGGCTCCTGTCCAGATACCTCGATATTGCCGGTATTTTTCAAACTTGATATTATTGATGGACAATGGCCGATCACTTTGGTCGAATCAACGACGAATATTTACAAGTTATGACATTAAAACCTGTAAGATTATTAGTAAATCGATTTGTTTTACTAATAATGCAGTTGAGTAGATCTAATTATAAAAAGTTGTAGACAATGAACGAACAATAACGCATCATGAATCCCTTGGTGGTTGAAGTAAAATTAAGACATGGTCAGCAGATGAGTCTCGTAGCTTGTTTCATAGAACATCGGGCTGGTAACCCAGAGGTCAATAGTTCGAATCCCGTTGCGACTCAGGTTTTCACTTCCGGTCATCATACTTTATCAAACCCCATTAAAGCAAAACAATATGGACTGAGGTTTCTAGGGAGCAACCATATTTTACAATGATAAGGTTAGGCAGTTGACTACTCAAGAGGTCTATGCGTTAGGCTAAACTGTGTTAAGTATGGAGTTGTGAAATCTATACTTATCTCTTGTGTACACAACTCCGATTCCGTTGTTTAGACTGCAGCAACCCGAACTGTCATTTCTAAAGGACAAACAATCAAGCTTCATAGCTGACAGTTTCAAACAAGCTTCAGGGAAGTGAAAGCATCAATAATAAAGATGCTGACTATTTCGCTTTAGCATCATTTTATGAATGGGACGGTAAAATCTGCAAAGAATGTCTCGATGTTAAACGAATGTTTATTTCTATAGTGTTTTAGCTAACCTTGGTCATTGTCCGTTAAAGAGGAGATATTCGTTATACCTTAAGTCTCATTAGGTCATAGTGGCGAGGATTTCTTTGAAGGGACTTTTATCTAATTTGTTGTTGTCACACTGTACATCATTGTTGGTTTGTGTGGTCAATTTTCACTTTGTTGATTGATGATAGAGTCTATTTTCAGGTGTTTATCGCCTCTAGAAAACCTGTTCCAGTTTTTGAATCGACCGTGTTTAGGATTTCCGTATTCTCCAAGTCTAATATGCTGTTTCAATGATAGTGGCTGTCCATGGATTCACTGGACAATCCGAAGGTCAGACTAATTGAAGCATACCTTACATGCTGATAAATTTTGTGTTGATGAAGTCAACAAACATGTTACTGAAATGTCCATGGCAAAATATCAAAACTAGGGGTGTCACCATCCTAAGCTGAGGAATTCTAAATTAGGACAAAATAGTTGTGAAGTTCTCTACCCCTAGCTTTCATTGGTTCTCCGACTGATGCCCATCAAGTTGACGAATCCCTACAAAGTATCAACTGAATTTCTGTCCTGTGCCAATTAGTGAAGACTCACTTCGAGATAGATTCTCTGAAGTTTTAAAGAGGCTACATGATATATAAGGTAAACCAGCTGGGGACGGACGAACGCCGACGATATTGAAAGGTGATCGCATTATGTCACGAACTAACAGGAAGTAATAGACCGTGTGTGAGTCATTTTATCTTTATACATTTCTTTCTGTACTGTTTTGAAGTTTGTATGCTCTTTGAAAGTCCTTACTATTATATTCCTCTGAGTTTGTTTTTCTTCTTTCTGTTTTTGCAACCATTAGGGAAGATGTGGAATATTATTTTCCCCAATGGATAGCTACCGAAGAGATCGTCTGGCCTTTGTGTAAGTTACAACTTATTTCTTGTTTCATTTAGTAAGAAAATATGCTTACACTTTGCAGTCGGTTTACTGCATTTAACGGTACTGGTAGAACTTTCAGCTATCCAGAGCTTGCAGAAAATAAGTGAAAGTGCAAGTTCGGTTTTACTGATACTGACACTTTTATCCGGTTTTATGTTTTGTGGTAAATATTCCCAGTTTTTAACTGACCATTTATCAGTCAACATAAGCACCGAATCAGACATTACTTCACAACGGTTCAAGTTGCCATACCTTATATCAGATGAAAGATGAGGAAATAAAGAATCAATCAAAAGTAGTAAAAAGTAGCAAAAGTGACGAAGGAGAAATGAGGAAATGTTGAAGTCAGTATAGAAGTTAAGATAAAAATAATGTGTAGATACATCAGTAATAATGACATGGATTCTGAGGCACATCACCTAGAGCCTTCAAACACTGGTTTCTGTGGTTGATTGTTTGACTGAAGTTTTTCATCATCATTGGTAGCACGAAGATCATTCATAAGGCTTAACCCTATTCCCTGCCTTCACATGAGTGTATGCAGTGACTTTACACATATAACACAAAAATCTCCTCGCTAACATTCATAACCTTATCATCTGACCTATCTTTCTTGTGCGTGCTAAGCATCGAATAACAACAATTCTGTTTCACTTGCTCTGTCGTAGACGCATTATGCACCCATACATCTACAACACTTGGCATTATTAAGTAGAATAGAAACAACTACTTATGGACACTCAAAAATACCAATAATGGTCCGGATGCGCTAAACTACTGGAAAGTAATCATTAATTGAGTTTCATTCTAGCGGATTTATTCAATATGTAACACAGTGAAACTGCTGTTTACTGGATCACGTTTCGAACACAATTTGATGGCCACAGTTAAGCTAAAAATTTCCGATGGTAGCCAACCGATGAAAATCCAGTAAGGGAGAAGACAAAATATCGAGTGGAAACAGAAGGTAAGAACACTACAGACTCGGATGCCAAACAAGGAACAGAGTGAATCTCTGGAAATTGTGGAACACCGCAATTAAGGTTTCTTAGTGGCTGGTAACAGCCTAGTGAATATATATGGTAGAAATAATTATGTTTTAATGTTTAACTAACACCTTCTCTTCAAAACAAGCATTTGAATAGTGTCTTTTTGTATTCAAGTTCAGTTGCAGATAGCCTAGACAAAGCACTAACAAAGTTTGGGTGTACATTAAAAATTCTACACAAAGAAGTGTCAACTCCAAACATGACTGGAAAAAGTAATTTTCAGGTAAATGTTTATTAGACACAGTAAACGCATTTTCATTTGAGATATACAAGTACTTTTTCGTCGAAGACTGGGCAATTTGAAGTTCGTGTTCATCATGGACTGGCATCATTTGGAGAACTACTGAAGATCTAGAAGCACTAAGCAGTTGTTTCGCCCTAGTATGCGACTCCTCATCAGTGCGCACTCATAACTCTGACAGGGATCGAACCCAAGACCTTTGCGTTTTGTGGCATGCACCTTTCCATTTAGCCACGGTAGGGAAATCTAATAGTTTCATTCTCCTACTTCCATCAACTCAGGATATAAAGCAATTTTCATCCATTATCGCCACTGAGTACCTGTTCTCATATTTGACTTCGTGTAATTATGTAACATGATCTATTTTAGGGATTCTTGATAATTCTTAACGAGAATAGTGCAATAAAATAAAGGCAGGCGATACTGTACTTAAGATACAAAGATTTTCTTTCACAATTTAAGTGGAAATAGTTGAAATCTGAGATAAGGTTTCCTGAATAGTTTGGTGACATGAACTGACCAACTAACAAATAGCCATCACTATCACACTTTATCAAACAGTTTTCATTGACGAATAGTCGTTCCTATATGACAATGGTAGCAGTGACGCTGAGTCAGTGAACTCATATTTGACAAGGTTAACTTGTAAATCTACTTCATCGATGTGGAGCGATATGAGGATTTACATCTGACTGAAAGTAGCAAGATTTATACAGTCTTGTTGAGTGTAGTCATGACTATCTATATGTCTGTGTTAACCAGTTAAACTGACATCATGTTGTACAATGCTACATAAATGTATTCATCACACAGTCCTTCAGTTTTCACATTCATCTATCATTGACTACACTTTCTTTGCTACAGCTTTTTGTGAAGACTAAACTTAGATTATAAGATAAACGAAGTAGGTCAGTCAATGAGGTTATGAGTGGTTCATCGGCTAAGATGGATAGTAGACTACATGGTGGAGACCTCAGTTCAAAAACAACTAGAATACCACCAACCCACGAAGTGAGTGTCTGCTAGTCTTACCTATATAAAAAAGCATCAGCTTCATGGTCTAGGTCTTCGAAACTTTAAATAAAATAAATAGTGATGCACCTAAATCTTAAAAAATCGGCATTATCGCACGTGTTTGTCTATTTTTAGTACACCATCATACCTTAGGTTTTTCATCTTGAGACCTGATGGGTGTAGGTTCAATTCTTCTGGTTATTGATGATGAAGACCATTTTTTAAATCACTGAAATAGTCTAACCTAATTGTTGACGGTAACTTATTTATTCCACATTTGTGTTATCATTGTTTTTGTCTTACATTCTATCACTTTAACTTACGTCCACTCATTTACTTGATGAGTGAATTATTGATAGATAGTGGCTGGCAGTAGAATACAAGACGCACGTTTCATCCCACTGGAGACTCATCAGCTAAACACACCTACCTCTCAGTAATTGATGTTGTTCCCACTGGGATTTTGAACACAAGATTGATAGCTTCAAATGATTAAGCACTATCTTCTACGCCAGTGAGTCAATGAGTCCTAAATGAGGCAAAATACACGTCCCGGATTTCACTGCTCCTCCCCCCCCTATCCATCATCCTTATGAATCCAGGTATACCTACTTATTTTAATTTTTCAAAATTGTTATCACAATCAAATACGTGTGTGAAATATAAAACTGTGAAAAGAAAACGAAAGAACGTTCTTGAAAACAAAAGATAATTAAGAACTGTTATGAAGTAATGATCATGTCATGCAATTTAATTAAATTACTGTGACACCTAAAAACAACCTTTTTTCATGATTCTTTAGCATAGACTGAGTACACTAACCCATTTTATATTCTTCAGTTCACGAAAGTGAACTTATAAGTACTAATCATAACGTACTCACCAAATTAGGATAGTACTGAACGAAGTTGAGCGCCGAGTCACGTTGATTCTGCTGAAGCAGCTGTGGCATACACAGCGAAAAGTTTAGAAAAATCTTGTTCTCGGTTTTCTAAACACGCTGCGATTATATGAAAACTTACCTATACAATGTAAATAGGATTGTAGCTTAAAATCAAACTTCAAGAGAGAGAGAGAGAGAGATGACGAATCTGTACCGCATAAAAAATAAACAGCATTATGAGAGAAGTCAGACGTACAAGGATGAAATTGGCGTAGAACCTCGTATAAAAGTGCATCGGTTAAAGATAACATACTTCACGGTAGTATAAAAAGAGCAAGTGGTTATGGAAAGAGTGATAACAAAGTAGACAAGAGTATATCAGAGGAAAAGGAATTTGAGAATCAAAGTAAGTGAAGATTTTCAAGAAGACATGGAAAACTGAAAGAATCCGCACCACTTTGGCCGATCCTGAGTCAAGTTATCAAGTGTCTCCAACCATTGATTCCTATTTCTTTGAGGACTCCAACAGTGTGGTCTCTATCCCCTACATGATTCAGACCAACAGCATGTCTAGGTCTCCCCATTCTGAATCTTCTTCCACTCCAATCCTACTGCAGGTAACGTTGCACGTTCACTCATGTGCTTGCTCGGCATACGCAACATATATCCAAGTCACCTAAGTCAGTATAGGTTCTCAACCTCATCAACTGACTTGCTTTCCCTGCCTAGTACCCGTCATCTAACTTCAACATTGCTCACACGGTAATCCCATCGTACGCAAGCATTGCTGCTAAGACAAATGTGATGAAAAGTCTGTAGTCGTTCCACACCTACTGTCGACGGCCCTATGAAAGAGGTGTACCATAGCAGCTATCTAGCTCAAATTTCATAAATCGGTAAAACTTAATAATGTCCACATTATCAGTTAATGAGAAGCAGGTATTACCCTCACTTTATTTCTTACCTTTTTAACATTACTGAGAAAACTTATGTTCTTCCGTACATTTAAGGTTAATTACTTCTGTGTTGAGGTCGTAGATATGCCCTCAAACCACTTAGGTTCCAAATGTCTGGTGCTGAAATGAGACTACGTGCATCATATAGAAAGGAATAAAATCTGGTGGAATAACACAAGTCCTGTCCTCAGTAAAGGATAACACTATGAAGATATCGATAATAACTACTAGTGTCTGTTTCAGATTATTCACCTTATTCCGTTTATTCTGAGCAGTAAGAACTTTGTGCACAAATTTCTTTTCTTAAGGCACCCATTAACGAAACTAACTAAAATACTACAACTACCACTACTACTATTATTACAACAACAACGACAACGATATACCACTCATAATGCTACGACTAGTGCTATTACTATTCAAACTACTACTACTGCTGATACCGGTACTACTTGGCCACGACTCAAGCTTAAACATATTTCTTCATCCTCATAGCTGTTTTCTCTGTTTCTTCTCCTGATATTTCAAAGACAGATTATATATTCATGGCAGCCTACATCAAGTGTCCTTGGTGTTGCAACTGACAACAGTATCCAGATTGATGGACACACCAACAAGTAAATGTAAAACCTGGCGCAGAAGTGAATTGCTTCAATTTGCTACACATTACAACAGCATTCAGAGAACAAGCAGAGAGAAAAAGTGTTACTTATCTTGACAAATGTGCATGAGAAATAAGAGAATAAACAGGCAAAGGTTGATGCAAATGTTCAAGGATTTGAAGATGACAAAGAGTGTATGACTTTGCGCCAGCTTGAGTTATTTTAAACCAGGTAATCGGAATCTTTCAACCACTGATTTATATTTCTCTGATGACTCTAGTCAGATAGCTTACATCTCTTTACATGGAAAAGACGAACACTTGAAGACTTTGTGGGCTGTCGCAATCTGTTAGTATCACCTCTCTTAACCCCGTCTCAATCCAAGCCTACTTTTGTTGACATCGCACATCGAGGAAGGCGGTGGATTGGGATGCGCAAGATATGGTCAAGCTTCACAGCCTTGTTGATTGTACTCTTAGCAGGAACCCTCGAATCCTCACATCGTTACACTTGAGTATTCTCCATGCAAACCCTAAATTACTCTCGTCTCATTGTTCTCACTGCACAGACGTTCAACGTATAGACACTGAAGGACATTGGGGATTGTAAAGGGGGTCAGTCAGTCCTCACAACAAAAGTGCACTTACTTTTCAGCGCCAGCCAAATTATACTAAGCGTAATAAACTTCTTACAAAACTTAAAATTTGAAGTTATCTAAGTTTTTCGTCTGTCCTAATCTTTTTTCTAAAATCTTCCCCTTCTTCTAGTCAGTAATCAGTGAACTGGAACAAATTCTTGGTCAAGTGGTTGAAAACTCTATGGATCAAAAAACAAAGCAAGTTAGTCAGCAGAAAAAGTTACAAAACAATGAGGAAAAGACGAAAGAGAGTATTATTCCCAGTTCACTGATGAAACCAACTCCCTTGAATAAATCTACCAAGTCGTAACATGAAGAAAAATAACGATGAAAGGTTTAAAACAGTACAGAATAAAAGTGTTTAAAAAGAGTGAAGAGATAATTGTGGAAACATTCTTCTCAAGGAAATCACCTAAATATCTTATACCCTTCATATAAAATAATCAAATCAAAATTATTTCTAATTAAGACTTGTCTCCTTTTTCAGAAAAATATAACTGTGTCTGAGTGAAATAGTTTTTTTAAACTCGTTGGTGACTGGCAGACATCCCGTTATCAGATTGGAAATCATAAGCAGTTTCTCGGTGCTCATCAAGTTGATAAGTGAGTGGAATCCGGGCAATGTGGTGTGTTGCGTAAATCAAGTTTTATTTGTCATATTAGAAGTACCTCACATTGCAATAATTGTTTATGGCCATCTAAATAATCGCACAAATCTGAGACATAATATGTTTAGTTGTGAATTTCGATTTGAATGTCCTAAATTCCATCTCCGTTGGGGTGAAGGATGAGTACTGCTGAGTACTCCCTTACTAGGATGAGGCACCCCTCCATTGAACCCAGTGCTTCGACAGCTGATTACCGTTCAATTTGAATGCAACTTTGAAATGAACTAACTTCACGTTCGAGGTGAGGGTGACATGGAGGAGATCATGTGAGGAAGAAATGAAAGCTTGTAGGCAGTTGTCGTGCCAGCTTGAAAAGACCGGAGAGAAGAGAGTGGAATATAGACGTGCTACTGAAGCCCTATGTTCCACTGTGAACCCAAGAGAAAATAAATATGAAAACAAAGGTTTGTGGCACTGAAAACGTAGTGCTGAAGCAGTTTCAAAATCACTTCTCAGTCGACACTGTCGAAGGCCTTTTCAAAGTCGATGAAGTTGAGGTAGAGAGTTCACTCCCATTCTATACTCTGTTCTATGATGATGCACAGCGTAGCGTTTCAATTTGATCTGCACATGATTTGTTCTTCCTGAATCCAGCCAACCTGTTCGGTCCTAATTTTGAATCCAGCTCATGCTTGAGTCTCTCTAGGATGATGCCACATAATATTTTGCTTGCATTGGGTGGACAGCAGCATGACTCCTGGTCAGTTCTTACAAAGACCCAGGTCTCCCTTCTTCAGGAGTTTGACAAGGTAACCCTTCTTCTAATCAATTGGCAGGTACCTTTCCTTCCTTCCTTCCTTCCAAACCTTCTGCAATAGTGGTGTGGTGTGAGCATGTCCGCTGTTATCCCTGCGTCCGCTCTCATTGCCACTGATGGGATTCCATCTGGTCCTGCTGCTTTCCCGCATTTCAGTAACCTTATGGCGTTCAGGACTTCCACTTTCATCGGAGGGCTTGTGTTCACTTGTAGTTCTGTGGCTGGGCTGCCGGTCATATTTCTGGACGAAGTGCAGGTGGTGGTCGATTCAAGAGCTTTCTGAAGTGGTCAACCCACCGTTTCCTTTGTTTCTCTTCTTTGCTAATTAAATTTCCCCCATCATCTTTTACTGGTTTCATCTGCGTTGATCTCTTCTCAGATAGTAACCTGGTTATTTATACAATGTTGCCTGGTCTCTCCTACCAGCCGGCAGCCTGTTCTGCTTCACTTGCCAGTGTTTCGTAGAAGTATCTTTTGTCTTTGCGCTCACTCTTATTCACTTCTTTGTCCAGTGTTTTACAGATTGTACTCAGTTCTTCTTTTCGTTGTACATCCAGGCCTCGCACCGGTTTATCTTCTGCTCCACCATCATCCTCTCCCTTCTCTATCAGCTTCCATGTGTCCGTTGAGATCCGTTTCATTCCTTGTCTTGCCTCTTCTTCTTCCTCCTCCCTAACACGGTTATGCAGGCTTTCTTCCACATCTCTTTCAAAGAGTTCCAGTGTTCTTCCACGCCCGACCCTTCTGGGATGTTGCTCAATATCTCCTATTTTGTTCTGTTGGCTGACGTGAAGATGTCCTTTGTAGTTTCGTCCTTCAGTTTCTGTTCTCCGTGTTGAACTTCAACTGTGGTCGTCTATCACCAACTTCTGTGAAGGCTTCCAACTTGATTTTGAAGGTGGGTTGCTTGCACTAGATAGTGAGTGGTGTGAACCTACATCTGCTCCCCATCTTGATCTGATCTTGTGTCCAGTAGTAGGCTGGCTGCGTCTCCACTTTCTTCACATTGAGATGAATTCGATCTGGTTTTTAGTTTAGTGTGTCCATCTGGTGAAATCGAATCCATGTCACTCGCTTTGTGAATATCCTTGTGTTTGTACACACTGCCTCACCTCCAATCACCAAATCGTTGAATGCATAGGATTCTGCAAACAGTTCTCCATTCTCGTTCATCATTTCACCGAGTGCTTCTCAACCATGATTGGTTCTCTTCCTGTCTTGTCCGCTCCCAGTTTGGCATTCGTGTCACCCCACCCACTAGAATTTTGATGTCGCCAACTGGGATGAAGTCTTTTCCAATAGTGATTACAGTTGTCTGTAGAATTCTTCCTCCTTCTTATCTTCATCTGCACTATTTGTAGGTGCATAGCGAAGCATTATTTGATTGTGACTTTCCTTCCTTTTGATTTGAATGTTGCTGTGATGATCCCAATCCTGCAGGAGGAGATTGGTTCGCACTGTATGAGAGTGAGCCTTCGATGTTCTTCAAGGTGAGAACTCAGTGTGCTCATGATTGTCATCTGGGTGATAATATCGGATGGAGCAGATAATTGACTCATCTCCAGTTGACAGTTTGGAGAGTTCACTTCCATTCCATCTGCTTTCGCAGATTCCAAGCACTTCCATGCCATACCTCTTCATTTTTTTGTAATCAGGGCAGCCTAGCTAAGTTCATACATGTTGCGGACATTCCATGTCCCCATGTATACTTTTGCTTTCATCGAGAGAAGACACATCAGCCAATTGGCTTTCTGAAGGCTTTCACCAACCGGCGTCATTTCGTCTCTCCGATTCCAGTGAGAAATAATTTTGTTTTCAGTTTTTTTTAATTTTCTTTGTGCTTTGAAGTTTCTTTAGCGGTTGGATTGATTTTCTGGGGTAGGGTTGCTAGCCCTTTGCCCAACCTTCCCTATATATCCGCGCTTAGGACCGGCTCGTAACTAGTGAATTAGTTATCCAGTCGATGTTTTCTTTGGATATGGAGTCTAATTTTTTGATTTTCCTTCTTATAGGCTTATGTACGCAATTTTGTTCTTGTATATTCATAAATCAGTCAAAAATCATCTGGTCGTAACTCTTTCTCGCATGACAAGTGACTACTGATTTAAAATTCAAACAGGAATGATCGATTTCTTTGCATCATATGCAGAGCACGTGCTATATATATATATATATATATATATATATATATATATATATATATATATATATATATATGCATGCATGCATAGTACTCTTATTTCGGGTGATTACTTTTGTTTGGACCAGAAATTATGATGACTAACTTGAGCTCATTTGACGCATCGAAACCAACTGTCACAAATTTTCATGTAGACAACAGGCTGATGAATCAGTCTACATCTTCTATAGAGGTTTTAATTAAAAATTTACGAAGATTATTCGATGGGGACCAAGTTGAAGTTGAAGAATTGGAGATGATTTTAAAGAATTTTCAATGTGATTTTTCAGAATGGAGTAAATATATATTTTTCAGTGAAACTGGGTAAGATGACTTGTTTAGTTTAGTCTTGCCTTTTCACAAAAATATAAATACAGTAGAAGAATTTAGTTTCGTATATATATATATATATATATATATGCCTCTTTGGAGATGCCTTGATTTTTCCTGAATAGTTATTTTTACAAGTGACTTGACAGCAGAAGTCGACCAATTTGATCCAGTGTAACGGAGAACCACAAGCATCAACAAATAATAGCCTGCTGTAGGAGAGGTGGCTATCATCCTCCAGTGAATTAGTGGTCACCGCCTAGATGTGTGAAGCGAGTGAGTACATCGTCACCAACTTGCACACAGGTACCTCCAACTGACGAGTCCCGAATAGGAGGGAATATATATTTTTGGTTCCACTATTAGTCACAGCCAATTGTTAAATGACATAGTTTGAAAATTGATATTGGTAGTGGTTTACATGCTCTCAATTCCTACTTAACTGCCAGCAGAAGAACATAAGATTTGCATTGCATCCCATGTTGGGTTCATGAAAGAGATGTATATCTGAGAGATAGGTCTCGCTAAGTATTAGTCCTGATATTTATTAGTTGCAAGTTCCTTATTGCATTGGTTGCCTAACATACTACAGTTTGTCTTCAGTTGACAAAGATATACTGGACACTGAGTTTTTATGTATAAATGTATAAATGTATAAATCGTCGAACATTACCTTTAAATTACTGGTCATTGATGTGTACTTTTTAAACTCTCTGAGAATGAGATACAACATAGTTATGTTTTATGAGTTATAGTATGGGCACGCTAGCTGGAATAAACAAAATGTTATAGTGAATAAGTCGTACTTTTGCTAAGCGCTAATTACCTTTAGTTGCACTTACATCATGAGCTTATTAACATAATCGATTGATGACTCAAGCATAAGCACCTCTTGCGTGTTTAAAAATATTGCGGTCACATATCTCTTTCGAAAAATGAGCTTTGTCAAGGGTACTGCATACAATGCAATTCATAGTTCTTTGTCAAAACAAAAAGATGTCAGGTTGGTATTCATAACGAACTGATATCACTTGGAGAACCACTGAAAACTTAGTAGCACTAATCAGCTGTTTCATCCTAATATGAGAGCCCGCAGTGCCCACCCATTACCATGACAAGGATCGAACCCATGCCATTCCGGTTCCTCTGCCAGCTAATTGTTATCGAGACACTGGATTGGAGTCCAGTGGTCTACAATTCCTACTTCTATCGGTTTATAACGTAGCGTAACCCCCATCCAGTGCCATGGTTGAGTGCCTGTCCACAATCCCAACTTGATGTAGTTTACCTGAGCAATGTAATATGTTTGCACAACACACTTTAAACAATCTGATCAGTTTACTGATGGAAAATATCCACACACTTTTGAAAATTAGATAATTTCGATGAAGCGAAAGGTAGGAAATGAAAAGATCATTTTCTCTTCAGAGTATATGAATACAATTGACGCTTTCAGTTAGTTAAATGTTGAGGGAGTTGTGGGGATTTGGAATTATTTCAAGTTGTTATTCATCGTAGACTGAGGAGTCCCATACTAGGACGAAACAGCTGTCCAGTGCTCCCAGGTTTCTTTTTTTCCTCCAACTGATGTCAGTCTACGATGAATAACAGCTTTCAGTTAGTTTTGTATGGACAAAAATAACTGACGTGGCTGACATTATTTAGGAAATGAACGGGTTGCTGTTGTTGTTCATGTTGTCCATTACTATTGTGTTACTGGTTAACTTCGCTACACAAGTTTCCCATCAATCGAATTCAGTCACTTTTTACGAAATAGAGACAATCCTGTGACTTCAATATAAAAATAAATAAATGAAGAATCACACATATATGTATACTGATTTATGTTGTTACATTTCGTAGGAACATATGAAGCGAAAATGGATAAAAGAGAATTATATTTAATAGGATAAAAGTATGTGAGGGAAGAGAGAAGAAAAACAAATGAAGCCTAACAAAAAAGTTCAAAATTTTGAAGATGTCAAAGACTGTTTGTATCTGCAATTTTGTAATCATTTTCGAGCCATGTTGCCTGAAGTCTTGAAAGACTAATGCTCATGATCTTGTCGATTCCAGCCATACAAACGACATGTCCCTGCTTAGTTCAAGCCAACAATCAAAGACTTCATGAACTGATACCACTTGTTGATCTGGCCACATTTGACATCTTACCAACCTATTCGTACTTTAGTTAACATCATGCTACAGGGAAGAAGTGGTTCAGCACAAGCAACACAGGTTCAAGCTACACCAGTCGGTAGGGATTCAAGGTTCCACATAATATTATCTTCCCAAACCATCTGTTTTTCAAGGAAAACTTCCTATATTTAATTCTCGTTTGTTTTTTACTCATCCATTCCTTAGTTATACACGTAATCTTGTCGACGAAGGTAATGGAAAATATAATCTGATGTTGCTTTGTTGGAGTAGAGGTCAAAAAACAGGCATACATGATCATGCAGGATCTCACTGTTTTGTAAAAGCTATAAAAGGTAATACTGATTGTTGTTGGTGAATTCTTAAAAAAATTAGATTATTTTCCTTGTGTCGATGTCATTTGGACAGTTAAATTAAAGTTTAGTAAGCAGTCAAGGGCTTTGTCATTCTATTTCACGAATCCTCTTCAGTATACACCAAGTCATCTTCATTTTCGAAGGAGAGATGAACCAAGAGATGGTTCAGTCATGTGAGACGCATGTCTATCCACCGTCAGACAGAAAAGGATTAAGTGGAATAAAAATTAAGGTAACCAAAACCCGATGATGATATGATATGATTGATATGAATATGAGCAATAATTTAGGCTCGAAACGTCATCGAGTAAATAATACACTGTGTGTGTTATAAATCAAATAAACAAATCTAATATGGAAAATAAGTTGATGTTATACTGAGGACTGTTAAGATGATGCGAAGCTGCTATGAATAGTATGAAAACATGTGACTGATTTTCTGCGGTCTTCTATTCGTAACAGGTTGAGGACTACAGCCAGTAACTTCACACCTTCCTGTACTACTCAGATCACTAATATCAGCGGAAGAATCAGACTTCATACTGTTTTCTTAATAGGGAATATTTAAGGGGAAGACATAGTCTGAATTTATCTGGATCACTGCAACTATTTCAAAAGTTTTTACAGCCTGAAGTCTTTAGACATCAATTTCAATTTTTTACAAACTATGATAAAAAAGCTTACAGTTCTGTGAGCAACTCCAACAGTCACTGATACTAAACATCGATCTTATTATCCTTTTTCTACCCAGTCAATCTCCTCTCATAATATAGGCAACTGGATTAGATCATACGTGGATAAATCACTCTTCGGTACATGCTGATCAACTTAACTTCCTACCTCACTTAGAAATGGAAGCTAACTAATTGATTCCAACTTAGATCGTTGATGCTAGTGATAAAGTTCACATAACTGTTAAGCAATTATCACCTCCAATTGTCACGTAAAACAGTTATAAAATAGAGCATTTTGCATAGACCTGTGACAAGTTGAATTTTTAATAAACCCTAGGGTAATCCTTCAGCATTACAACCACATCAAGTTGATAATAATCAAAAATGCTTTTCACATTATTGATGAGATTTTATCACCACTAATTGATGTTTTAATTAAACATCTTCAGGTCAAATGAAAGAAACTATTCTACATTGGCCAAGAGATTTTTCACCGGAGAAACTAAATGACTCAGTCAATCATATTGACGTCCCATTGACAGTGAAATCAGTTAATGTTATGAATCCTGGAGAAGTCACCTATATGCATGGTAAGTTGATTGTATAAATTAATTTCTTCTTAGAACATGTAAAGGAGACAGAAAACAGTTCCTGTTGACATGTTCGTGAAAAAAGCCAGACAGCTGCGGGAAATATTAGACTTGACCGTATAGTTTGTTGATTTAAAAAAGAAACTAGATTCATTTGTTAAGAACCGGTGAGATGGATGTCGAAAGAAGGAAGCGATCAACCAACTAATAGCATCACTCTGTTCTAGTTAGCTGCACTGGTAGATAAACATCAGTAGTTTTAAACTACCCAGAGTGTTCAGTAGTATTCTTCAGCAGGTCGTTTTGTCAAATCAAGTTGAATGACAGTCAGTGGCAGAAAGTTCTTTTTTTCAACGGTAAATCTTTGTAGTTCAGTAGTAGTCATTTCTCTCCAATACAACAGCCTTAATTATTCATGATCACACTCAAGTAACAAGCGGTTATTTGTTGATAGCAATCCTTCTTAGCCGCCTACCTAAATACTGATTATATCAAAGTGACAAATTACGACTGCTTTCAGCTTAAGCTTACAGTCTTTCACTTCACTGACTTTCTGATATAACCTGTCACCACTTGGATATATACATATATACAATGATCTTGGCCATTTCTAGGTCTAATCATTATATAGGTTATTTTTAATATAGTACCAGTGTGTTTAGGAAATCGAAAGTAAGATTTCTGTGGACGTTTCACTGTGTATATATGTCTTCATGTCATTGGTTAGCTGTTTTCTTGTTCATACAGAAGTTCTTACATGTACCATTTGAAAGTATAGATTTTGATGTTAAGTAAAAATCCAAATATTCCTCTGAAGAGGATGTGGCATACACAGTGAAACGTTCACAGAAATCTTACCTTCGATTTTCTGA